AAAACATTGAGAAACTCACAAGACGTTGTGGCCAAATTTTGAGCTTTGAATGGTCGGCCTTAGTAGATCAGCATTAATAAGATTGAGCTATCTGTCTACTTGCAGTAGAAAAAAAAGGCGGGACTTTTAGGAAGAATAATGTACATTTAACCTGTAGAGATTTGGGAACTGAAAGCTAGGGTTAGGAGCATGAAGTCATGATTAATAAACAATGAATAATAGGAAAGGATAAGCCATATGTTCTGTGATTTGGTTATATTCATATTAGTAACAGTCGGACTTGTTATAATTTTGTTATTTCTAGATACTAGGTGGTATAACTATACGGACAGTTACTAATGATGTACCAAAAAACCAATACTAAAAACTGGTGTCTGCTTCTGAGTGGATTTTGACGGTAACAAATAGTATTCGGAACAAAATGATGTACCAAGTGGCGAGATGTTATTTGTTAGCTCCAGCTGAGATAACCACAAGTGAGTTTTCTTAATTTACGGAGGTTCATCTGCATGTGGTGGCACCAGCATGGCGATGAGAAAGATAATGTATTTCACTAATAATCCACGCCGAAACTCTAACGTAATGAAGAATGGCAAAGAGCATATTGTAACACTACTATAATCTTCAATCACAGGGCGTGGCTAATAAAGTCGAAGAATAGCTGACAGAGATAGTAATTTATTTTGATAACAGCAGTGGCGTGTGTATGTACTATCACAACTTTATGCCCACTCAACGCGCGCTATCTAAAAAGGATAGTGGTATTGTTTCTCGTTGAATTAAAAACTGTTTTGATCGTGAATTACCTACCAAAACTACGATTTACACTTTGATTGAATCTACTACAGTTAAGGTGATATTTTACTGAGTTTTTTTGGCTTTTGTCTATTTATTACATTCGAAAGCATTCTTGGTCGTTATCAAAGTACTTTAGTTAAGGTTCGACATCTTGCTAGAGTTTGTCTTGTGTTTCATACTGTGATCATATTGTGTGTTACACCTTGATCAAACTAAAATGGTTGGTAGTACTCACAAATGTGGACAACCAAACAGTTTGTTCCCTGTGGAGGAGGGAATGCAGTGTGACGAATGTAATAAATGGTTCCACAAAATGTGCACCCGTTTAAGTCCCACTGCATATAAAAGATGTTCGAAGCCTAACTCACATTGGCTTTGCATGTTTTGCTGTGACAACAAGGCATTGCTAATACAGGAGGCTATGAGCCTATTGGCTTTGGCCTGTAAGAAGAATGATGGCATATGCGCCGACGACAGGGGCACTGACAGTGACGAATGTGTCATTGTTGTTACGCAACGCCTCAAACAACCGACTCTGAACGACGTGAAAGTGAAATCTCCGTTGATATTAACTGGGGAAGTAGTACCACCTAGTACTGACATTGTTAATAATGCACCTTTAGTGGGAACCGAAGATCTGGATAAAACAGTCACCGTTCCAAATAGTCCCAGTGTTATGAGGCATGAAAAATGGACTACGGTATGTAGGAAACGAAATGAAAAGAAAAAAGCTGTAAGCAGTACACAGGTAGTTAGTAACTCACTGGTGGACTCAAATTGTGAGCCACAAGTTGCACTACCAAGATCTGATCGTAAGAGTGAAACCCATCCTGGCGTAACTGAGAAGAAAGATCTAATAACATCGAATATTGTTGTGAGCAAATTGCGGGAGTCAAATGACCTTGATCCGAAAATTAGACACACGCATGACTTAGAAAAGCTAGGAGAATACATTTGTAGTATTTTACCAGATAACTCCAAAGGAGTTCAGGCTAAAAAGTTGGTAAGAATAGGCAAGAGGACCGAGGACAATGTTGAACCCCGTCCATGCAGACTCCTTAAGGTAATCCTAGGATCGGAGAAGCAACGGGATCTCTTGTTAAGTAGCGCTCGTTGTCACGACAATTCTGACATCCGAGTTAGACCTGACATATCTCTCGAAGATAGAATAAAAAGGAAGAAAGCACTAGCTGAACTTGAAACGCGTTGGCAAAACGGCGAGGAAAATCTCAGGCTAGTGGGTTTTCGGATAGTCAGGTCTTGTAAGCGAATGCTACCAAGGCCTATGTGGATAGGCTGTTCTACTTAGGAGTTTTATATGCCAACACTCGTATTCTGCGAAATAAGTTCTATGAACTAGAAGCACTAGTGGACAGGTTAAAGCCACTCTTAGTAGCAGTGACAGAAACTTGGTTAGTCGATGACTTAGACATTACTCCAGAATTATCCGGATACCGTTGCATCAGGTGTGATAGACATAGATGCAGGAAAGGAGGTGGCGTCCTGTTATACATAGCCAATAGCATAAATATCCGCTCCTCTACTAGCGAATCCCATGATAGCGGCACTTGTGAAGTCATTAGCTGTAAGTTGGCTATAGGATGTAGTACATTTATGCTAGGTGTCATCTATCGGAGCCCAGTCTGCCTAGCTGATGACTTTGTTTTAGAGCACATTCATCTTTGGAGTGAAAATACCAGATGTTTGATAATAGGAGACTTTAACGCATCTGATATTAGTTGGACTGATATGACCACAGCAGGATCTATAAACTCCTTTGATAGTAAGTTCCTGATAACAATAATGGAGCATGCACTAGTACAGCATGTATCCCAACCCACACGTTTTGGTGTTAACCAGGGTTCTTCTCTGCTGGATTTGGTAATCACTCATGAGACTGAGGATATTGTCGACTTAAATATTCTCCCGTCGTTGGTGAACAGTGACCACGCTGATTTGTCATTCATGTTTCGAACTAGGGACATGTTATACGATCAGGTTACACCTCGCCCAAATGTATGGAAAGCTAACATATCAGCCATTCAGGAATGTGCTGCTAAGACAAATTGGTTAGTAGATACTAGCATATCAGTTGAAGAAGCATGGTCTGTATTTAAAGGTAAATTTAAACTAGTTACGTCTCCGTTCATACCATACCTGGTAGCGCGAAGACCGAATAATAGTCCACCATGGATAACTAAAACGGTCAGGAAACTCCTTAGAAAAAGGAAGAATCACTGGGATATGTTCATCTCTACTGGCTTAGAACAATACAGATCCAGTTATTGTAAGATTAAGAATATCTGTAAAGCGTTAATAAGTAAGACTAGACTATCATACGAGAAACAATTGGTTAGGGATTCTAGATGTAGTCCGAAACGGTTATTCTCGTATATAAAAAGGCGAACTAGGAGAAGTGATGGAATTCCATCACTTTTGATACGAAAATATCCGTTAATCTTAGCAGAGAATGATGCCGAAAAAGCTGAAGCTTTATCGGAATACTTTAGTAAAGTGTTTTCTATCGGTCATGAGGACCGACCAATGATTCGTCGCGACCGTGACGGCTCGCTTATGGATCCTGTAGTCATTGAGAAAGATACTGTTTTAAGGCTACTCCAGCATCTCAAACCTGATAAGTCCAGTGGTCCTGACGATATTCATCCTAGGATTATGAAAGCCATATCAGATGAAATTGCTGAACCATTAGCGATATTATTCGATATGTCTCTGAGACAGTCCAGACTTCCTAGAGACTGGAAAGACGCCATAATAAGTCCGGTGTATAAGGCTGGGGGTAGGGATTTAGTTAGTAACTATAGACCTGTTAGCTTAATTAGTGCAGTTGTAAAACTGATAGAGAAAATCATTCGGATAGCTGTTATAAACTATGTTGAAGGGCAAAATCTTTTCTTCAGGGAACAACATGGTTTTCGGAAAGGCCTATCTTGCTTGACAAATCTTCTCATTGCACGAGAAGATTGGGCTACGGCGAAGGATCGGAATGCTCCTGTGGATGTGATTTTCATAGATCTGAGTAAAGCCTTTGATAAGGTTTCCCACTCTGGTCTTAAATTCAAACTGAAACGTTTAGGAATCCATTATACAGTCGTCGATTGGATAAGTAACTTTCTCCATGACAGGAGACAATGGGTAAGGGTTAATGGGGCTCTCTCCTCTTGGATACCTGTAAAAAGTGGGGTTCCCCAAGGTGCAATCCTGGGTCCTCTTCTCTTTTTACTTTATGTAAATGAATTGCCAACTGTAGCAAAATCATCCGTTCTACTCTTCGCTGATGACATAAAGATTTTGAGACCCATACATAGTATGTCGGATAGGATAGTATTACAGGACGATCTTAGCTCATTGGTGGCATGGTTAGATAGGTGGTCACTAGAAGTAAATCCTAATAAGAGTGTAGTGATGCAGTTAAATAACTCTGATGAATCGTATGACTATACACTACGTGGATTCGTGCTACCCAAAGTAAGAAACTTTAAAGATTTAGGAGTCATATTAAGCAGTGATCTCAAAACGACTAGTCACTGTAAGGCTGCTGCTACGAAAGGCTATAGAGTATTATAGTCAATTCGTAGGTCTTTCCAGTATTTAGATGATGAAATGTTTAGATTACTATACCTGATTTATGTGCGACCACATTTAGAATATGTGATTCAAGCAGCGTGTCCTTGTTTCAAATATGAAGCAGATATGCTAGAAAGAGTCCAACGACGAGCTACTAAAATGGTAAAAGGTCTATCTGGCCTATCTTATGAAGACAGACTGAGACACCTTAACTTATTTCCGTTATCTTACCGTAGAATAAGGGGTGATCTAATATTGGCCTATCGTATACTGAACGATGACCTTGGTATTAACATGTCTTATCTTTTGCTCCCGTCTAGAACCGATCATTTGAGAAGACATTCGAAGAAAGTTCAAAAACCGAGATCAAACCGTTTACGTCTGGAGTTCCGTTTCTCGCACCGAGTAGTGAATTACTGGTATTCTCTACCGGAACACGTAATATCAGCACCGTCTGTTAATATATTCAAAACGAGGTTGGATCTCCACAGTATTACAAACTGCAAGGATTAATATAGGTCGACAGACCTCCTATCCTTATTACTGAAGACTGAAGACTTGTAACGATGTACAAACCAGTTGAAGGTTACTGTTGAAGGGTATTTTGCGCGCTGTACATGAACTATAGTCCCATTATGAGTTCAGATGACAAAAAAGAAACGGAAACAGCCAACGAATGTGATGAGGGTTTTTTACCTGATGTAAACCCTACTTTGGAATCTCCGCGATCCTCTATAGCCATGAAAATGAATCGTCATGATAGGGATAAAGACACATTGCTACCTCGTAAGTCACTTCTGTTGAAGCCCTCAAAATCAAGAGGGCAACTTTCGAAAATTAGTCAGTTTACATGTTCCTAAGGAGGTTGTCGGCCAGCTTTTTGTCGTTATCATCACCATGAGCCATCTCTACTTTCTGACTGGTTGCATTTGTGCGTAACCATGGCTGTTTGAGAAATTTCCAGAGGTTCAGTGACTGGTTACTTCACTGAATTAATACGGAATGCCCGGTTTTTGTCAAATTGGACGGCTTGTGGTGCAGACGAGATATCTTTCTACGTATTGAGTAAAATAGGGAGGGATTGGGTTGTTATTCTGTCTAAAATAGACTCATTGTAAAGTAATAGAGTCGATCAAATCACAACTGAACACCCTCATAGAAGTTACTGTATTCAGGTTTTATCCGGCCTCATAGATTTCCTTAACTGTAAACAGTGAAATAACCGTAACCCTTGATTCAGGATCCAAAGTTATACAGTTCAAAACCAGACCCAGTAACTAACGTGCATTCGTTCGATGTATTCCTTGAAACCTCAGGGTTTAACATTTGCTTTTCGTCCCTAGATCTCATTCATTTTCCAACATTATATTGTCTAACTCTTCTCCATCACATGTCTTTGTTAATGACTAACTACCATCATTAGGCTTTGTAACTTTTTAGTTATAACAATGTGGTGAACTAAGAGTTGCAACTGTAGCAGGTATTTGTTAACCCGATAAAATAAACACTGGTCTTGTGTGCCACCATGTCCATATGTGCTCAAACTTGTAAAGTACTAACTAGTTCCCCAATCTCAGCAGCAAGTATAGCCATAAGCTCTTTTTGATCATGTAAAACAATGTAATATCATTTGATTAACACAAAACTCAATCGACAGGTAGTTTCTTTAATTATAATTTCGTGAGGCATATTTCATATAATTGTACAGTAGGAGTCAGTATTTTTAGTTTTTCAGTCCAAATTAATTCATGAAGTCACCATCTAAGCTGTAAAACTGAATACTTTCTCGGTAGAGTTCGTCACGTAACCAGAATCGAAGACTGCAATATATCATTACTGGTCGTAGTGGAGCAAGTACGATCAATTTCAAACTCGTATAATTTCTTTTTCTACTAATCACATCTCAATACGCCTGTGACTTGTAAAATTGCGGACATACAGACGCTTTCTGAGCTGTACATTTTATATTTCTGTTTATCTATCTCACTTGAATCAAACTTCCGCTAAGGTAAACAGTTTTCTTCCGCCAATTGTACATTCTGTGTCCTTTGAAAAATCCTAGTTCATATCTACTTAGTTTTCGGTTCGTATGAATTCATCAGAGTACTTTTTCGTAAACTGCATTATTCAATCTAACCTCTCCGAAGTCATCCAAAGACGAATCTTTGTCATGTTTCATAAACCTCAATAACCAAATATTAAAATCAATCCATTGAAAATAAACTGTTGTTTTATAATTCAATAAAAAATCAATTAGTTCAACTGTGTGACTTTAAAGTAAAGTACGTTCCCGACTTTCAAGTCATGTTTTTAAATTTATGTTTAGAGAAGAGTGATAGGCATATTTCATTAAAGTACTACATATCTTCCACTTAAGTATCTGCTTGAAATTACTTATTACTTTTCTCGTTAGCTTCCCCTCCAAAGTTTGTGTCAATGAATCAACTTGCGGAAGCAGCTAAAGCATTCTATAATATGTCTTTAGCACATGAAATAACTGTGGATTCTGAGTTTAGACTGGAAAAATATGAACCACAAGAAAAAAGGTATGTGTTATGATTGCATATTTAGAGTTTTTTCATTCCAAAGATAATCTTGTCAAAAGTTGGTAATGGTTAATAGAGAGTTGTTGCTGTCTTTTTTGAGACTCAAGTAGTACGTACACTTTAATCTTCTCAAGAGTAAGCTTAAAATATAGAGGGAATGCTTCAGATAGACCAACTCTTCTATAATTAAATTCTTATTCAATAGTTAGAAGCTTCAGTCGATAGCAACTCATTATTTTACGACTCGCTTCTCAGTATTCTTTTTTGTTGTTGCAAGAGTGTTGTATGGTACCCAACTATAGAATGAGGAGAAACAGTATGCGATGTCAAATGATCTTTAGCATATAAACAGTATATTTAAGTTCGATTTTTCATTCGACTCTTTATTCAAGAACTTTATCAAGCCTAATCCAAATTCCACATAACAGAAGAATTTTTAAACTACCTAGATCCTGTTTCAGCTATCTGACCACATTAGTCCATTGTACTATAAAGCACATCAATGTATTGCGAGTTTTTGAGTCTTCTGTTTTTGTGATCGTAATTTATGGTTAATTCACTTCAGGTTCATCTATTTAGCTGTTAATCAAACTTTACAAATACTAGTGCTAGTGACCGACTGACCAAATCAAATCAGTCGAAGTGGTCTTCAAACCAACGATCCAATTATTGTATGTTAAATATTTTAAATACCTGCCCATTACTTTACTTGGTTAATTTAATGTTTTAACTTCTGGACACAACAAAAACAGTGCACCACTTCAACCTGGTCTATTGATTTAAAATGTAACAGTAGAGTAGTCTAAAAGAGAATAACAAAGAATTTAGAAACTCAGTTAATCTAAAATGAATACGTAAAAAAGGCGTTCAAGTTCTAGACATTTTTCCTCTGTATAGTTGAAGACAGAGAGTTGTTTAAAAAAGTATTCACCAGAAACTAGTCGTTTTATAGGTCTACGTAATAAACCGAACTTGTGCAGATCTAGTCTCGATAATTTAACGTTTAATTTCAGAGGTTTGAGGTATATTGTTGCAACAACATTCTTACTTATCATGCTGATATTTTTTTAACATACAACTACATTTCATAAATATTCCGAAAATGTCCACGATTAATTAGTGCTGTGTTATGCTTTCAACATTCTATGATATTACTATACTTGTTTTTATCAGTTTTTACAAATGTGTTTTTTGTTGTTGTTATTGTTGTCAAGTTTGGAATATTGTATCAAAGAAACAATGCATAGAGCATTTTGGGATATTTTACGATCTAGTTTAGATTGTGATCCTCCAGACTATGAACCAGCTTTACGCTTATTGGAAGAAGTTAAACAGGTATGTGATTTATTTGGTTATCTACTTTCTATTATTAGTACAATTCAGTATGTATTTCAGCACCAATGATATTCAATGTTTTATGATAAAATTGCAGATTGAAATCATTCAACATATTATTTAGTTTCTATAGTCAAATGACATATATATATATATATATATATATATATATATATATATATATATATATCAATTCCTAGTTGCCACGTCACAACGAAAGGAAATTAACGGGAGGTAAATTGGCGAAGTATAAGTTGTACTACTGATAGTAGAGAGAAATGAAAGTACACAATCAAAAGTATGTTCAGAGTTGAGAAAGAATGAGAGGGTAAATTCATGTGCCCCATGTCTCAGTCATTTCAGTTGATAAAAGTTGGCAATCAGTTTACCACCCTTGCTATTCTGTGTCCAAAAATCCTTATTCAGTAATCAGCATACAACTAAATTAAATTAAAAATATCTTTAAAATAATCTCGATGATTGAAAGTCAAATAATCTCAACGTCTTATTCACAGGACCTGATTCGAGCTTCCTTAGATTACTGCCCTTGAGGCAGTTCGGACCAGTTTGCAAAACAAACACTGGGGTTATTTGAACTTCAATCACTAAGATTATTTCAAATATAATTTTACTCACAATATCTTCTATATGCCTTGCATCTAATTCCTTTCAAGCTGTTCTTTCCAACCAATGTTAGCCATCATATCTCGTAAGTTGGCTGATATATGATTAAGCTTACAATCCATCATAGGTGTCTCCGAAACATTGCTCGTATATCCTGGGACCACCGAGTAAGTAATGCAGTTGTTAGGAAACGGGTATTAGTTAAGGATGGCAAATTAGTTGATGAAGTAATGAAACTTCATCAGTTGAGACGGCTGGGACATGTGTTACGTTTGCCTAACCACCGACTGCCCAGACGAGCGAGGATTTATGGTCTAGGAGTACGTTGGAAAAAAGGTAGGGGCGGCCAGATAAAAACATGTCACAAATCTATGAAGTCACTGACAAGTGGACTGAGCCATGTCGGTAGATGTAGACTCCCTGGTTGGGATCCGCGAAACGATAATAACCGATGATTAGAGACTTTAAATGACATGGCTGAAAATCGTTTGCAATGGCGCAGGTGCACCCACTCTTTGTGTTCTCCCAAATTCTAATCTTCTGAATTGTTCATATCCCTTTTCTCCTCTCTCCAAATTTATTTGATTGGATTATACTCCTTGAATAACATCCTGAAACCCTAACCTCTCTGATTACTGCTTACACTTTTACTACCTCAACCACTATGGGATTTGAATGAAAACTGCATCTCTGTGCTAACGTGGTGTGGCAACTCGAAGTGATGTATGTACGTACGAAGTTCTGCGTTGATACTGACCGACTGTACTGATAGACTGGAAGAAAACTATAGATAGACAAACCATAATATGGAGTCAATTCACGAAGTCATTGACAATCTGACTGATCCATATAGGTGGGTGAAAACTGCTTCGTTAAAGTCTACCCAATCATCGTAACCAATGGTTAGATAATTTGGATGAGATGTCTCAGAATCGTCTGAAGTGGCTCAGATCCTTTCATTCTTTTTCATTTCTTAAATCCTGAGTCCCGAAATTTTACCATAATTTCTGCTGTTAATGGTACTGTTACTAGTTCTAATACTCTTGAATTCTTTTTCCTATCCAAATTATTTAGTATTTTTTATTACTTATTTTAGTCATTACAAAGTTTAGTTTTGCCTAATCAAACAACATTGAAAACACTTATTGAAAATCTTTTGGATATGGATATAGCTAAATCTCAATTAGAAGAAACTGGTTATTTAAGTTTAGAAATTTATAAAAATGAAGTAATTAATTTAATGAAACAATTTTGTGCTCCAATACGTGATCAAGAAGTTGAAGATTTAAGAAAAATCGATGATCCAATTGATGCATTCAAGTAAGCTTTATCATCATTATTATTAATGTATCATTTACTTTAAATATTGGATAAAAACTATTTAGATCTAAATTATATTAACAATTGATCAATTATAACTGGATGAATATTACAAAAGTTTAAACAGTTGGCGTTCTCATCCGGATTATTATTCTTATTTATATCTTTATTGTTGCATCTTCATGTTCCGCTTATTGTGAGCCCCCAGATACCCTAGTACTGCCGAGGGTGGGGAGAGTTATCTCTCCATCTCAAAACGCTCTCACTTGGCCACGCGTATACAGCCACTACCAGGGAAGTCCTATTCACTGCCTTTTCGTGGTGGGGATGTTGTCTGTGAAATTCAGAGGACGAAAAGCGAATGTCTCAAGCTTTAATCGCGTTGGTGGATATGGAGGATCCACCTAGGAGAGTTGAAAAACCCTGATTCCATACCAATGGTGCACATGGGCTCCAGTATCCTGAGGGAACAGATGGTGTATGAATCAATTATCGGTCCCCGACTAACATGAGACTGCATTTCCTAACGTTGCTCCACTGCCTTGTGGGTCAGACCTTTAGGTCGAAGGCTCCGGATGTGGCCCCATAGGAAAACCATTTTCTTCGCTCTGGGCACTATCAAAGCCCACACTCAAATCAAGTGACTTGTGTGCCGCATATCTATTTGGTGCCCCTTTGTACCAATATTTATGTGTTTAATTAGATAAAAAAATTTTAATGAGCTTGTTGACAGTTGTTATATGTTGTATTATTGCTAATTAATTATGTACTGTTTTCTCCGCCTTCTACTCATTATAGTACGATTGTGTTTTAAGTGTAATTTCATATTCGGTTCATTAGTGGTCAAGTATTACAAGTATATTATTATATGTGTGGTGGGTTATGTTTAAACTTGGTACAGTAGAAAACTAATCCGTTTCTTATCTACACCTTATGATTGACTACTGGGTTCTTCTATACGAAAGTTTCACTGATTCAATATAAAGTCAAATGAATAAAAACGACATTTAAGACCACATACTACAGTTTTAACGACCGGGAAGTATCATTAGCTCACATAATTAGAGTTTAACGCATATGCAAACATCTAGTGAATATATTAATTGACTTAGTCCTTGTTTTATTTTATTTTATTATTTCAACACATAGATATTGGTACAAAGAGGCACCAAATACATATGCACCACACAAATCTCATTCGATATGTGTGAGGGCTGTGATACTGCCCGAGTGCCCAAACCAAAGCAGGTGGTTTTCTTAGGGGGCCACACCCCGAGCCTTCGACCTGAGGGACTGATCAACAAGGCAGTAGAGCATCGTAAGGAGATGCAGTCCCATGGAAGCCGGTGACCGACAATTGGTTCATACGCCATTTGTTCCCGTAGGATACTGGAGCCAGCTCATGTGCACCATTGGTTTGGAATCCGGTTAAAGCGCCGTACATTTGCTTTTCGTCCTCTCATTTTCGTAAACAACACCCCCGCCACGAGAAGGCAGTGAGTAGGACTTCCCTGGCAGAGGCTATATACACGTGGCCATGTGAGAGCATTTCGAGAGGGAGAGCGGACTGTCCCCACTCTTGGCCGTACCAGGGCATTTGGGGGCTTAGTCCTTGTAGATCATCTTCTCTGGTGGGATCAATAAAACGGATACTTTTAATATGCACCATCTGTTTTTTTTTAAAATTTCTATATAAATCATGATTCTACTTCGTGAACAGATTGCCACTTCTACTATTGACATCATTTAAGATACTGTTCTATTATCGCCTGATTACTACCAATCAGGTATAGATTCTTATTTTAGCTTTCTGATTTTTTTTTTTTTTGAATGAACCGTTGGGTATTTAACATCCTCAACAGTTTGAAGTGATCAATCTACATTAAATGTACATTAAGTTTCATTGTATTAGTTAAATATGATAGAAATTAATTTTAATTATAAAAAAAATCTGGCGAGATTATAATTTATGGATGAACCAATCAGATTTGAGATAATAGATGTTCAATTTTGACGTGAAATTCATCTAGCTAAATACCATTTTGGCATTATAACTGATGTCAGTTCATGATGAAAACATTAAAAATAGTCCTTAAACCTAACGTCCAACTTTAAATCCTAAACATAATTTCTCACACTGGTTTATTGGGCAGCCAAACCAAAACGTGGCATCAATGCTTGAAGTCACTAACTTCTAGTCTGAGCCATGTTGGTAGATGCAGACTACTTGGTTGGGGTCTGCGTGACTATCGTAACCAATAGTTGGAGGCTATAGGTGAGATGGCTGAGAATCTATCATAATGGCGTAGGTGTATACACTCTTTGTCTTCCCTTAAACCAAGAGATTAAAATCGCTTCATATCTTTCATTCTACCAACTAATTCTTTCTTTCTGTCCTATATCCTTATATGCAGTTTGTTTTATATTACCACCATTGGCTTAACTACTTCTATGAATTTGGTGTTCATCTTGTTGTGTTGAAGAGGTATGGGAACTTGGACCGATGCATATATGTTCCTGGTCCTACGTTGTAGCTGACTTACTAACCGCAGTCTACCGGTACACCAGAAAACATCGCCTGTTGAGGTAAATGATGGTCGGATATGCGTAATGCATATCTCAACCACCTCATTTGATGAACATTCACTACGTCATTAAACGATTTACTATCCTTACCTAGTACCGTATGCCCAACCTCAGCATCTTTCAGTTGTCCCAAAAAAAACACGTGCAATGGTCTGAACGCACGTATTATCTAATAATAGTAACCTACAAATGTCCTGTATTCTTATTGATCATATTTTGCAGCTATAATGTAGAACAAAGCAATCTGTTGCACAATAATCTCATCCATTGATTGATAGATGTATGTATATTACTACGTAACAACTGACACAAGTTAACAAACTCCAATCAAGCTTTATCAATCTATACTAAAATTTTACCAGACACTAACAAATCAAAGCTAATGAAAATTTTGAATGAAGTTATCGACGCAATTCACTTCTTCACATCTCAATATTAGTTTAAGCGTTAATGCAAATTAATCTTAAAGCAACATTTCAAATTTGGATAGAAGGAGGAATCACATCATAAACATTCTTCTATTTGTTTTTGTTGTTTACACTCTTTTATCATTTTCACTAAACAAGATTATGTTATCTGCGTAATTTAAATTAGAAATTAATTCCTTATGATAGAAGATTAATCAATGAAATGTCAAAAGTGTTATTTTTAAAGGAAGAATTTTATTTTTACAATGTCATTCATGAAGAGAATGTCGACATGTTCTAAAGTCTATTTCCATTTATGTTTATGTTTATTTTTGTTTTTGAAAATTAGAAATGTCTTTATTTTATTGGATAAAATGCATATGGATTTGGCTAATTTTACAATTGAACAAATGAGACCATATATTCGTCAACAGGCTGTTACTTATGAACGAACAAAATTTGCTACATTTTTAGAAGCTCAACAAAGTAAATGAATATTATATATATTCACTTGGTATTGTTTGTTGTAATCTCTTCATTTGATATTTAGGACTGCAATTGATCAGTCTCTCTTATTGGCATATCAGCTCTAATGGGTTGGTGTCTGATGAAATTTCAGCACGGATTCGAAAAGTTCATTTGACTTTTGCCAACTTACGTCACTTATGGCGAAGGCGAGATATCCGTCTATCAATAAAAGGACGAGTATTCTGCGTAGCAGTCCGTTCTGTGTTAATTTACGGCAGCGAAACATGGCCATTAAGAGTTGAAGATACTCGTAATCTACTGTTTTTTGACCACAGATGTGTTAGAAATATTGCTGGTGTCTGCTGGGATCACCGGGTGAGTAATAGTGAGGTTCGACGCAGCGTATTAGGTAATGATGGTGTGTCAGTTGATGAGGTTGTGAATCTTCATCGACTGAGATGGTTGGGCCACGTGTTACGTATGCCTGAACACCGATTACCACGACGTGCAATGCTAACCAGTGTTCGGGATGGTTGGAAGAAAGTTAGGGGCGGCCAAACCAAAACGTGGCATCAATGCTTGAAGTCACTAGCTTCTAGTCTTAGCCATGTTGGTAGATGCAGACTACTTGGTTGGCGTCCGTGTGACTATCGTAACCAATGGTTGGAGACTCTTGGAGACATGGCTCAGAATCGATCACAATGGCGTAGGCGGTGTATGCACTCTTTGTCTTCCCTTAAACTAAGAGATTAAAATCGCTTCATATCTTTCTTTCTACGAACTAATTCTTCTTGTACTATGTCCTTATATGCAATCTTTCTTTTATATATTACCACCATTGGTTTAACTACTTTTATGAATTTGGTGTTCATCTTGTTGTGTTGAAGAGGTATGGGAACTTGGACCGATGCATATATGTGCCTGGTCCTACGTTGTAGCTGACTGACTGACTCTTATTGGCATATGTGCATACTGTACAGATTACCTCGATATTGCCTTAATTCACAAGCATTATAAGCAAAGATGAATAGTGGTTAGCAATGTAATCCAGTTTGACACGCGTTTCGTCAAGTAGCTATCAAAACTCAGTAGGTAAGTGAATAATGTGATAGCGTTTGCAGCGAACGGTAATGAGTTCGTGTCCCAGAGTGAACATTAACTCTCAGACGCAGGTACATCCAGTTGACAAGTCCGAAATGGGATGAAACGCCTGTCAAACTGGATTCCACTACTAGCTACTTTCCAACTTTGTATTATATATATTGGTTATGCAAGTATGATCATTTATTGTATATTTTTATCATTTGGTTCTGTTAAGAATTATGTAAATAATTAACTGTGAAGTGTTCATTTAAGATACGAAAAGTACTTCCGAAAATTCATTCCTAATCTATTTATTGAGTATAGAATCTTGTCCTTGTCCTCAAGTGTGTTTGTTTGTGGTAATTTACAATTAAGTGAAATGTAGAGTTCTAACCAATAACCGAATTATAAATTACGAATTAGGTGTCTTAACTATTATTAAGCCACTATCGAACTTATTGGAATGTACGAAATGGATGATCAGTTATAATTATTTAAGCCAAAAAAAACAGTTATCTCATCCTTTTGTAAAATTTCACTAATAATAGTACAATGTGTAATTCAGACATTTAGCCAATCAAAGCATAGAATAATGTATCTTGGATATTCAATCTCTTGAATAAGAAATACTTTTTCTCACTTCTACTAAAGTGTTCTACTCTAGTGTTTATAATCATCTAAGAATACATTTTAGCAATAATATTATGGTGTTTAAACCCTAAACGTAGCGTAAAATGTTACTTATTAACGATTTGTCTTCTCATTGGTTACTCTCTCTCTCAGAGTTATGTAAATTATGTAATATACATTGAGATTCACTTTTTTTTGTTACCACTTCTTGAAACAGAAGCTAGCTTACAGATTTCACTCTTCCCTCTTTTCACATTCAGACGGTTGCAATTAGAGACTATACAGTAAATAAAATATAGGCGTTTTTTTCTTAAATTTTAGGCAATTTCAACTTTACTGAAATTCATAAATATCTGAATATCTCTTAAACGGGTCATTATACTTATATTTAACGGTGTAGGTTTGGTAATAAACATGGGAACGTTGTACATACGTACATACCAAACAGTATATAGATTGTACATAGAATGTTTTACTGTGTGATAGGGCTGTCTATGTTATCAGTATTATCCTAGTGTCACTGTAATACTTTAAATTCTAAGAATTTTCTATTGAGGTCACGAAATGACTTAAGTTAGACAAGCATTTGGAACTCGGAAGTAGTGGGTGGTTGTTTCATCCCAGTATAAAACTATTCATCAGTGATCATCCATGACCTCACAGCTGGAAATCAAACTGAATACCTTCGATCCTACGTGGTAGCACTGAACCTCTAGACCACTAAGCCAGTATCCGATGGCGTAAATGTCTAACTCCTATCAATCTATGATATTGAGCAATCATCTATTTTCTTCGGTGGGTAACTTACTCAAACCCAACACCGTCCAGTTCCACTGGTCTTTCAACACACGGTCTTTCAATAGAAATCTGTGGAATTCCTCTCAAAGCTAACCACTGGTGAACAAATGATGATTAATATTATTATAGCTTCGTAATGATTGTTGAATTCTAGTGAAATCGCGAATTAAATTTTTGTTTTACTCTTATAACTTGACCCTTCTTATCACTATTTCCAATTTCTTCGATTTTTTTATTTTACTTAGAACTTGGTATTGATGGCTTAGCTCATACACGTGATTGGATTAAACAAGCACATGATAATCTTCTTGATGTATCACATCAACCAATTAATCATGAGTGCCTTAATGCATCCAACAATATCAACACCAATAATAAGTACACTCCAGTGGATCTTAAAAACACTTCAGATAGTTGTTCTACCACAAGTAATGATACTATCCCATTGACACCGAATAATATACTACGTGAAGCTTACTTAAAGTTATTGATATGGCCACGTGATCGTGATTGGCCTGAGGTAAATTTTGAGTGTATGTATGTTTTTCAACATTATCATACTTAATTTTCAGTAAATAACATAATTATCTTGGAATTGATTTCCTTTTAACTAAATACCAAAGGTCAATGGGTACATTACATATCATACCCTAAAAAAGTTGTTTACAGAAAAATAACCTTTATCAGTTATTTACTTCTAGGGCAAGTTCCTTTGTTGATATTTTAGAAACACAGCAACATCGCAATTGAATTCTCTTTTCAGTCATATCCAGTAACACCTCAAACCACTGAGTTATACACTATCTCTAAGGCCTCAACTAAGGAATCTTAATGGATCAACAGATGCCGGTCATAGACAGGTATTTTTTGCATCATGATCTCGTGCCATAAATTGAACTCTCCTACGTATTCCATTTAGCCTCAGCGTAACAAAAATCATACGCGATGTGGAAAATGCTGTGATGATATTCATAACACAATTTCAAGCCCCTGAAAGTTTGTGTTTCAAGATGGTGACACCGATTGAATTATAACCACTGAACCCAAATACACATTGTTAAGATAGTGTTACCACCAGATCCTAGCAATCCTTCGAAGACCACGATCAAGTGCAAGTATTTTCCGAACGTCTTCAGATCAGATGTATCAGATTCCATATGCATAGTTCAGAAATGCACTCACCGATCTTTTGTAAACTCAGATTTTTACAAGATTAACATTACAATAGTGGCAAAAGCGATCCAGATCCCCGTAAGCCATTATGATTTCTATCATACATAAATTGATTTCATCTGTCACACCACTTGGATTCCCACACCTTTCCAGATGTATTGAATTTCCGATTCCAGATTCCTGTTATTCTTACCAAATTTCTTTGCATTTAGAAAGTGCAAAGTTAGTTTTGTACTTATGGACACTAGTTTGAATTGGTTGTGTATCATCACACAGTAAGATAATGTCATTTGCATGTTAAATGTCGAAAAGTCTTTCCTGTTAGTGGATCCATACTATCTACTTCCTTAAAAGCTGTTCCCAGAATGTCATCGATATCAAAATTGAAGAGGATTGGTGAAACTGGGACTCTATTGGACAATGAAAGGAGATTGATGTATGCCTTCAATCTGTCTGTACTTGTGTACAGAGCCTCTTAAATGTTAATAGATTTCTTATCAGTGACCTTATTTAACGGATACCCTTAAAACAAAGCCTTGTTCAACAAATGGGAGGCGAAACTGTTACCATGAAATACAACAAATGGTGGCCTACAATAATTGCTCTAACACTATGGAGAGTGGAAATCTGATAAATAAATCCACGACTTGAACTGAAACTGTCCTGCTCCTAGCAAGTTAACTTCTTACGGGTTTTGTGCAACCTGTGAAGTCTGTTGGAAGCCAGTAGTTTGGAAACAGAAAGCAGACTTGTACAACGTTAGCTTTTTTTCACAAAATGTGTAAGCTCTTAAGTGTATCACAAAGTGCCCCCAAATGCCCTGGTACGGCCGAGAGTGGGGAGAGTCCGCTCTCCCTCTCGAAATGCTCTCACATGGCCACGTGTATATAGCCTCTGCCAGGGAAGTCCTACTCACTGCCTTCTCGTGGCGGGGGTGTTGTTTACGAAAATGAGAGGACGAAAAGCGAATGTCCGGCGCTTTAACCGGATTCCAAACCAATGGTGCACATGGGCTGGCTCCAGGATCCTGAAGCGACAAATGTCGTATGAACCAATCGTTGGCCACCAGTTACCATGGGGCTGCATTTCCTTACGATGCTCCACTGCCTTGTGGATTTGACGTTCAGGTCGAAGGCTCGGGGTGTGGCCCCCTAAGAAAACCACCTGCTTTGGTTTGGGCACTCGGGCATTATCTCAGCCCTCACACATCGAATGAGATTTGTGTGGCGCATATGTATTTGGTGCCTCCTTATACTAATATCTATGTGTTGAAATAAATAAATAAATAATAATCACAAAGTATTATAAGTAGTTAAATATTACATAAATTTATTGTTAAACTTCACCAATCTGATCAGAATATTATAAACTGTAGAACTTACAAGGTCACTTTCAAGTGAACTCTTGTTTATAGTTACTTAGATTAAACTATCTAATCAGATACAGTTTGCCTGAACATTTCCTAATTTACTGCTATTCAATTAGCAAATGTACAATTGAAACCCTACTAATCACTTTGTCATTTATAATTTTCTATATTAAAATTCCATACTAATGGAATCACCTAAACAGTTCTACTGTACAAATCTCAGTCAATTATAACGTAGGACCAGGCACATATGTACATTGGTCCAAGTTGTCTTATCTCATTAGGAAGCGGGTACTAGGTAAGGATGGCAAATCAATTGATGAAGTAGTGAAACTTCATCAGTTGAGATGACTGGGACACGTGTTACGTATGCTCAACCACCGACTGCCTCGACGTGCGATGTTCAGTGGTACAGGAGTAGGTTGGAAGAAAGCTAAGGGTGGCCAGACCAAAACATGGCACAAGTCCATGAAGTCACTGACAAGTGGTCTGAGTCATGTTGGTAGGTGTAGACTACCTGGTTTGGATCCACGAGACGATAGCAAGCGATGGTTAGAGACCCTGAATGACATGGCTCAAAATGGTTTGCAATGGCGCAGGTGCACCCACTCTTTGTGTTCTCCCAAATTCTAATCTTCTGAATTGTTCATGTCCCTTTTTTCTCTTTCCAAATTTGTTTCACTCTATTATACTCCTTGAATAACATCTTCAAACCCTAATGTTTCCGATTACTGCTTATACTTTTACTACCTCTACCACTATGGGATTTGAATGGAAAACTGCATCTCTGTGCTAACGTGGTGTGGCAACTCGAAGTGATGTACGTACGACCGATGTTCTACGTTGATACTAACTGACTGACTGAGCACAACAAGATGAACACTGGATTCATAGAAGTAGTTAATTCAGTAGTGGTAATGTATAAAAGGAAGATTGCATATAAGGATATAGTACAAGTTGAATTACTTACCAACATATGAATTGAAAATTCTTTTTTTTCAATCCTTTTATTGTTTTCTTTTTTCCCCCTCTACAAAGACAATGCTCATGGATCAATATCGTCTTATAGATTTAGGCAATCAATTAACTATTATTGTCAATTTGACATCTCTTGTTCTGGTTGTATGTAACTATATAGCATCGAATGTATCAACATTCACTACAACTGGATTATCTTCATTAACTGCAACAAAACCTATTTTATCAATTCCACTTGAAACTAGTTTACCACATGATGCAATGATACAATTGAAAAAATCTATTTGTCAAGATGTTGCACCAATATTACATGGAATCTCTTTAAATTAGTAAGTGTTAAATGTGATGAAAGGATAGTTTTATTTTCTCAATAGTTGATTGATTAGTTACCTAGTCAGATTAGTAGATGATAGTATGACAAATACTAGGTGTTTTTTTATTCTACCCGTCATTAGTATGTATTATTGTCGATTGTTGTCGTTGAAATATCTCCACGGTCTAGTCAGGTCATTCACGTACTTTTAATCACAGTTGTGTTAAATTCCTGGCAGGTTATCTAGTGCAATGTTCTGATTGGTGTAAAGGAGAATTTCGAGCGTTATTTCAAAAATAAGATTTTCATTGTCCTCCATACCATTCATACAATAAACACTTGATGCTCTATCCATTTACTAATCACAACGCTAGGCTGATTTGAAGACAACAAAATAGGGAACAATTATGAACGGTTTGATTTCTGAGATTTTACAGGAATAATTTGAACAATGAAAACATTCATAGAAAAAGTGGAGGGAGATAAAAAGAGAGAGTAATTTGAAAGTGATATGATGGACATATTGTAAAGTTTGCGATAACACAGTTTTTATGATCTTAGTCAATATATTTATTTATACTGAACAAATCATGTATACTTAATATTCTTTGGTATAGCGTAATGACTTAGTGGTTATGATATTTGATTTTCATTCAATACTAGATCACCGGTTCAAGCCCCATTCTACCTACTTCAGTTTCAGTATCCGATTTTTATCAGTAGTAGTAGTCCCCTTACATTTATAGCATATTGAATTTATGAGTCAACTGAAGCTAAACCACCATGGAAAGCTGGAAGCACTGGACGGCTGTTTCATCGTAGTATGGTGGATGTGCACTTCTGAGAAGTCTCACAATAAGACAAAACGATCGTCCAGTGCTTCCAGGTTTTCCATGATGGTCTAGATTCAATGATCTCATGAATTCAATTATTAAATTACTACAATTTCCACAAAATCCCTCTCTGTTTATAGCATAGCTCGAAACCAAGTATATGATAATTCAATTATATTTTATTTCATACTACTTAATTCCTTCTTTCATTTGTACTTATTATGAATTTAGTAAACCTGATCAATTAGTTGATGATATAATTGAACAAGTTATATTGACTATTGAATTATGGTATAATCGATGCATACAATCTTGTAATTTAATTACATCATCATCATCCTCATCCTCATCTAACTTATCAACATTAACTGAGCATAAATCATTATGTACAACTGCTTCTATGACAGATTATGGACGTAATGAATTAAGCTTACAATTGACTTCAGTTATTATCAGTGAACATCCTGTTTATAAACTTATGTGTAAGTTTTAATGTGTGTGTGTGTATGCAAATTATTTCTACTTTATTTCCTTTTTCTTTTTGTCAATATTTCCTCTATATACTACTTTTAATTCTTATCATTCTTTTCATTTTTTATTTCTTGAATCAGCTGATCATTAGTTTTCATTTGTGATTAATTGAATGATCATTTTATACGAAGTTCTAGTTACTATCACCACTATCATTATTATCTACCGTTCTCATTTTTTACTACTATTACTATTACTACTACTAATAATAATAATAATAATAATCGTAACATTATCAATTAACTAGTTAAATCATATGATAATAGGCAACTAACTGAGTGCACACACACACATACGCTTATACATTAGAGTACACAAATATATTAGATTTCGACCATGGTAACAATAAAATGAATATTTTTCATAGTTGAATTCATGATTCAATTGAAGTTAGATCACCATAGCACTGGATAGCCATTTTCGTCCTAGTATGGGGCTCTTCAGGACGAAACGCCTGTTCAGTATTTCCAGGTTTTTCATTGTGGTTTTTAACTTCAATTGACTCATGAAGTCAACTATTGAATTACTATAATAATATCCATAAAACCCCACTTTGGTTATAATAAAATGAATAATTAATCATTTTATTTGTGTTATAATCTTCAAATGAAGTATGGTCATTCCGCTTTTTGTGTGTAAAAATTTACCACTGAATTTTGTGATCAATACTAGGAAGAAAAATGGTGACTATCGATTTATAAATTCATAATTTATCATCGAAGTTCCTGTCGGTTTACAATTATGATCGGGTTGATACATGAAAGAGTGTAATATTCAATGGACAGTGATATAAGATTAAATTGTTTTTTTTTCAAAAGAAGTTCGTCACCAAAATTGGTAGGGAACGATTGTTTTCGTATTAGAATAACTAGGAACGTCATATTATATAGTGTATCAAGGAAAGCACCCAACTGCGTCACAAGGCAAGCCCTCACATGGAATGCTCAAGGCCAAAGGAAAAGAGGAAGACCAAAGAACACATTACACCGGGAAATGGAGATAGAAATGAGAAAAATGAACAAGAATTGGATAGATTTAGAAAGAAAGGCCCAGGACAGAGTTGGTTGAAGAATGCTGGTCGCCGGCCTATGCTCCATTGGGAGTAACAGGCGTAAGTTAAGTTAAATTAAATGAAGGAGCTATTCCAATGCTAATATACAGTGCTGATAATTATCTATAATTAGAGAGAAGACGAAAATATAGCGATGATAATTAAACTTACTGTGATAGCTCTGTCATTATGCTTAACTTTCTTAAGAACTAAACTGTGTATCCGTAGTAATGAACCTCTACGTTAAAATAACTGTATTGTATCTTATGATTTTCATAATACTTACCGTTTAGAAGCAATTATTACAACACTTATGTGGTTTTTTTATAATGATAATTAACTTTTGACTTTCAGATAAACGAGCTATGGATTTTCTACGCTCTGCATTATCATCCTACCCTCCTGAACCATTACCTTTACCTCCAGGTTTCAGTGTTCTACTTGATCTTGATCAAGATAAACTCAGTTCTTCCACCAGCGAAAATGGGACTACTGTTGGTTATTTACGAAAACCTCCATTAAACATCCCGACAACAATGATGTCAGGTGGTAGTAGTACCACTACTGGATTACTTTTCCATTCTTCCCCTTCTAGTCCACATAAAGAATCAATCAACAGTTTTAAAACTTCTAAATTTGAAATATTAAGTTTATCCGATTTAGCAAGTCGTCTTCTACCATTATTAGCTCATAATCGTCATGTATTCGGTTCATATTATGCTGAAATTATTCAACCGTTACTTATGCCGGAAATTCAAAAACTTTCTAATAATAATAGTGAAAAATGATTTCATATATCATCTCCTTATTTATATATAGTCATTGTTTTCGAATGTAGACAACAACAAGGACTATCCATTGTACATTTATAATAACAAACCACTATTCGTATTATTATTAGCAACCGCAGCAGCAAAATTAGTAATAGTTCATTGGGGGGTGAGGGTCCCTTTTTTTTACACTAACAATCAATTTTTCTATTCATTGTCCAATTGTTTCTTCCATTTCATAACTGTTCCCCTCTTTTTTTTGTCTATAGTAGAATAATAAATAGTATATTGGTTACAATATCATTACTTATATGTTCTTCACTACTTTAGTGTTGTTTTTTTCCTTTTTTTTATACTGTATCTGTATGTAAGACAAAACATACATAAAAGTTGTTATCCATATGAACTTTACTTCACTTTTGTTGTTATTGTTGTTTATTTCCACTGATAGATGATTACGTAACTAGTAAGTATTCTAGTTGAATCAGTTACTTGTTTCAAATGTTAGTTTATTGCATTTTATGTTTCTTTTCTTGTCTTCTCTTTCTTTTCTTTTTCTCTCAACTTTAGTTTGTTTTTCTTTTTGATATTCATGTTGTTGTTTGTTTGTATATAATTCTCTAATGCTTCATTTCAATAAAATGAATATCAATCAAAAATAATATTACTATGATGTGTAATAATACAAATAGATGGTTTCAAGGAAAAATACCTTAGTGATTGTTTCCTTTTTTATTTTATTTTAATAGAATAGAATGTGTTTGTTTGTTTTTCTTCTTCTGAATAACATCAGTGTCACTTGTTTCTTTTATATTGGTTACCTATTAAAAATCTATATTTTGTTCCTTATTTTTTGTTGTTGTTGATTAGTTGTTAACTTTTAAAGAATTATATTTTATTGTATGTTTTATTCAAGTACATTTGTTGCATGTATATTTAAGTTTATTGACTGATTTTATCATATCTACATCAAAATGTAAATAAATAATAAAAGAAAAATTCGATTAAAGGTACAATATTGTTGTACTAATTATCATGGATATGTTGTGAACATGAAAACTGTTGATAATCGATTATTACTTTTAGTTTTAGGGAAAACATCATGCTTAAAGCTTTGTCATGGAAACTTAAATATTTAGTAGATACTCTACAGTAATCAGTGCCCATTTGGATAGTTTTCTCAAGTTATCTATAATGAGGATGATTTAACATCGTTTAGTATGAAACAACGTTCAATGAAAATGAACTTTAGAATTGTTGAGTCAGCTTTCCGAGAACTGCAACGGAGCCTCTAGAGGCCCTAAAGGAACCGAAGAGTCCTAATCAATCAGAGCATGATAGGGCTTTCTAGAATATCAACATGGCGTGTTACTATTGGTCAGTAGCATAATATGTCTTTTAGTGGATTGGTCAAAATATGATGTTGATTTAACAAATGTTAACATTTATAAATACCTGTGTTTTTCTGTAGAAAAATGAACATTTGGAGTAATGTGTTTTTCGCTTATTTTGCGCCTTTCTTCTCAAGTTCAGGTCGCTGTGTAGTTTTGGCTTGCGGGTTACCAGAATAGCTTAGGAACCGAATAAAGTGTTCAAATTAACAAGACTTATCAATAATTAATCCTATAGTGTACATCATTGTATTGTTGACTATATCAGAAAAGAATACACTTGGTTTATCTGTTTTCGTAACAGATTCTAGAAGAATTTCTTTATAGATCTTGAGTAACCATAAATTATTCCCCTTTAAAAGATTTGATACAGTCTGTTAAACAGTTCATGGAACGTATCACTTCAACATGTAGACAAATCTGTAAATACTGTATTATTAAAGTACAAATAATTTTTAAAACCAAATTACAGAAAGATGATGAATAGATGGTTATGGATTTATAGAATTTGATCAATTTTAAGAATATTCGCAAACATAATATTGTTTAGTGCTTTAGTAACTGGAAATATTCTCGATTTTCATATCTCTATGTTAACCAGTTTTTTCACGACTACTGAAGACTAAGACGAAATTTAGATCTATGAATTCCTGTAATCCCTTCTGAGCGAAAAAAAAAGTATTCCAATCTAGCCACAGAATTAAGCGAAGAACTTTACCAGCACTACTAACTAAATAGTATGACAATTTCCAGATAGGTATATGAACTAATACATTTCCATCATTTGTACAACAGTCAGACAAGATAACCAATCATTAAAATAAAAAGGAACTCTTAGAGACTCAGTTTCTGTTAGGAATGTATAGAGAATTGATTGGTTGCTATAATGGAGCCGTGTACTGAGAAAATAATAATTTTTGAAACTATCTTAAGAAGAACTATTTATGTTTCAGTTGTATAATTACTAAATACTTGGATTATTTTATATTTTTATTCCCCTATTTGTAAGCTATTCGTGGTACATTAAGTGTTTCTATATTATACCTTCCTTAAGTTACTTATTATTCAGTTTTCCTTTGGTAATGATGTAATCATATGTATATTGGATTTTCCTACTTATACTACTGTGCGATTAGGTAATTAAATGAGTTTGGATTTATGAACTCAACTATACTGTTGAAGTTTGTCCACCCACTATATTCTGTTGTGGTCGTTAAACAAGTGAGATTGGGAAGCTATATCTTGTACCAGTCGGCGTAAGTATTGATCTTGGCTATTTTGTCACTGTCATCGACTTGTTAGTTGAAGGAAGAGCATTCTGTCATTTGGTTAACAGAAAGCCATTGATCCTACACAACCGTTCTAGGTAACTTAGTCAACAACCGAACTAAATAACAATTTCTCATATTAAAAAAATCACACGAGGCCTAATACGATGCAAAAATCTGTTTATTTTGCCGTTAAATCATTGGTTTCACTCAAAATTAATTCTTATCTGTAGTTCATTTCTTAACTACAGACTAACATACTCAGCTTCGATCTACGTATTTTTTATGTTTGACAATCAATGACATTATCTGATCGACCAAATCTTTTGCCAATATGATTATTATCTCTGTTGATCTAATGTACACTTCACCAACATGATAGTAATTCCTGTAAAATCAAATAGTATTGTAGTGAACAAGGACACGAATGGAAACGGTCGAATGCCCTGGTACGGCCGAAAGTGGGGATAGTCCGCTCTCCCCCTTCAAAATGCTCTCACATGGCTACGCGTATATAGCCTCTGCCAGGAGAGTCCTACTCACTGCCTTCTCGTGGTAGGGATGTTTTTTTACGGAATTCGGAGGACAAAAAGAGAATGTTCGGCGCTTTGACCAGGTTGGTGGACACGGAGAGTTTACCTAGGAGAGTTGGAAAACCCTGATTCCAAACCAATGGCCTCCAGTATCCTGAAGGAACAAATGGCGTATGAATGAATCGTTGGTCACCGACTACCATGGGACTGCATCTTCTTACGTCGCCCCACTGCCTTATGGGTCAGACCTTCAGGTCGAAGGCTCCGGGTGTGGCCCCTAACAAAACCATCTGCTTCGGTTTGGGTACCCGAGCAGTATCACAGCCCTCACACATATCAAATGAGCTCTGTGTGGTGTATATTTATTTTGTGTCTCCTTGTACCAATATCTATGTGTTAAAATAAATAAATAAAATAACGATCGAATGTATTTGAACACAAAATTACAGAATATCTCAATAAAATCCCAGAACCATACAGTAATTAGTTAATTATTTGGAGGGGTTTTTGTGGAGATTTTAGTAACTTCAATAGCTAAAATCATGAGTCAATTGAAGCTTCCAGGTTTTCCATGGTGGTCTAGCTTCAACTGACTCATGATTTTAACTATTGAAATAGTTAATTTACAAAATATCAATCCATTATTTCAAAAATTAACTATTTCTTTTGCAAATATCATTCCATCGTTTGAGATTTCATTGTTCCTGTATTTTCATACCAATTACTTTCCGTTCTCGATCTTCTCAAATGCATTCTATTAATGACTATCGTTATATACTACTTATATGGATATAAGTAGCTTGAACTACAATATTGTTGGGATATTTAGGAAAATATCCCAGAAATCATTCTATTAAGTTTAATGCTATTCTTGGATTTGGAGATGGTATTATTTACTTATTGGTCAGTACTTATTTCACGTGTCATTTTCCTACTGGTCAATATTGTACGATGTTATTTTCTATTTTATGGTACGTTGTGGTCTGCTTGACTGGTATATAAACAAAGTATATTTGAAATATAATGGTTCATATATCCGAGGCTGAGACTTGCGTTCTGGACTCAACTGCTGGGCTAGACAGGGAAGCGGGGCCAATCAGAACCCTAAGTCGTCCTGCGTGTTTGTGTGTCTTTGGTCCGATCGATAATTCGCTACCCTCTAATCTGCTGCCGTCTCACAGTTATAGCAAATATTACTGAATTTGTTAGATCAGTGTAAGATAGATGAGTTCAAAATGTAACGGTGACATTTCTTTTAGTTCAACTATTAGATATAAACAAGCTCGAGAATATAGAATTGTATATTGATCTTTTCGTGTGCTTTGATATCAGTATAATGTTTTATCAGTTAGAAAACCCTCTGTTTCATAGTGATACTGTTTTCACAGACTAACTACACAACAATACACCAATGATTGAATGCAAAATTTTCTTCTTCTACCAAACAGCAAATATTCCAATAAAATTTACAAGTTAATGAAATTGGAATGTACGGCAGTATTTATTCTTAGTTATTCTAAGCCAAAAGAGTATAATTCTGTTTTATTGAATAAAACTGAATAAACGTTTTTTGGTATTCATTACTGAGACCACCAATTGAACAATACACAAGTTTGTCACGTAGTATTAGATAATGATGGTAAACGGGTTGATAAGGTAGTTAATCTTCATTGACTGAGGTGGATTGGATATGTATTACATATGCTTAACTAATTTATACATTGATTCATGTTGCCTTAAGAGTGTCACTAGGTCACAAGAACGTTAGGAGCGGAAAATTCAACACTTGGTATCAACCTGTGAACTTATTGACTGTGGAACTCATCATATCAGTTAATGTAGACCACCGAATTTAGGTCCGCTGTATTATAGTAACCAATGGTTAGTGAGTATAAACACGGTTGCTCAAGATAAATCGAGATGACGTATTTTTATCCATTCTTTGTCTCCTCGAAAACATTGAGTTTTAAAATTATCTTGCTAATTTTGTTTCATATATTGTGAATTTCTTCTTGAATTGTATTATCGTTGTATAATTTCTTCTATTACCATTGAGATTTTTTTGATAATTCCATCTTATTATGTTCATTCGATACGATAACTTAAACCGATGAACATATCTCCTAGGTCCTGTATTTCTTGAGATCGACTGAATGACTGATTACTTACTTGCTTACGCTTGTTACCCCTCAATGGAGCATAGGCCGCTGACCAGCGTTCGCCAACCCACTCTGTCCTGTGCCTTCCTTTCCAGTTCTATTCAATTGTTGTTCATTCTTATCATATTTGTCTTCATTTCTTGGTGTAATGTATTGTTTGGTCTCCCTCTTCTATTTTGGCCTTGAGTATTCCAAATGAGTGCTTGCCTTGTTACGCAGTTGGGTGATATCCTCAATGTGTGTCCTATCCACCTCCAGCGCCTCTTCCTGATTTCTTCCTTCGCTGGAATCTGGTTTGTTCTCTCCCAAAATAGGTTGTTGATAGTGTCTGTGTCTGGTCAACGAATCCGAAGTATTTTTCATAAACAACTGTTAATAAACACTTTTGTCTTCTGGATAGTCACATTGAAATGCGAATAAACTGCTTATCTATAAAGTGTTATCTATTGATTTATTGAATTTAATAGGTACTGAGTTGTTAAAAAAATAGGTTACTAAAAATTTCTAAGGATTACTTTTTTTCTTCGCACTATTGATACTCAAATTTGAACTTTATATTTTTCTTTGTTGACTTGAATATTACCTCGAGAAAATCACAAACTGTAATCATGAATCAATCAATGTTTGGCCATCATTGAAAACCTGGAACCATTGGATGTCCATTTCGTCCTGGTATGAGACTCCTCAACAGTGCTTATCGGCGACCACGCACACAGTAATCAGACTGAGGACTTTCGATTTTACTCGCGAATGCTTCAACTCTAAACCACTAAGCCGGCATCCAAACAACTGTCCAGTGCTCCTAGGTTTTCAATGATGGTATGACATTGATCGATTCATGATCTCAATCAAAAAACCCTAATATAATATTGGAATAAAATAACCGTTAAGTAGTATCTAGTTTTCACTAACTACTTTATGAATTTCAATTATTTTCAAATTAACAAAAATTATAATAGTTAAGATCATGAACCAGTAGAAGTTATACCATCATGAAAAACCTGGAAACACTGTACGGTCGTTTCATCCTATTGTGATACTCCTCAACAGTGCACATCCATGATCCCATCTCGCAACATTCAAACTATAATATCCACAAAACCCTTTTCTTATAAAAAGAAGAAATTAATTGGAATTTCGTATTTTCAAATTGCCCATTATTGTTTTAACCAAAAGAATAAACACAATACATTGAAATATATATCTATACTTTTGTCTACATTCTTTATTCCTTAATAACAATCCAATTAGGTAAAATGAATAGGGTTGAAACTACAATCTAATGAATAGAGTCAATAGGATGTTTATTTGTTTATTTGTTTTGTTCTATTTCGTTCCTTTGTTTTTTGTTCTCGTCAACATTTTCATTCATTCAACATTCAATCACATTTACATTGTTTTTTATAAATAAAAATGATTCATTTGTTCAATAATATTTTCAATGGATAATTGTCCATAACTCCCTGGATCTGATTGAATTAATTCATATAATTTATTTAATTGTTTATAACGTAATTCATTCTCTTCATTTTGTTCATCTATGGATAAAGAATTAAATTCTTTAGTTAAACGTAATTTTTTTATACTACTTAATGAATTTAAGTAGTTCATATTAGTTATCGTATGTTCATTCATATTTTCATTATGTTGATTATGGTTTTCGGGTTGATATTCTATATGATTCATTTTTGTATCTTTTATAATCATCTCATCATTTTTATTAGAGTTGTCTAATAGAAAAAAAAAGAAATAATAAAATACAACGTTTATCAGTATAGGATTGTGGTGATAAGTTAAAACTACAATCTGACAAGATAACATACTCAGTAGACACATGATCAATACTTCATATGTGTTATAATTCTGCATTCTGCTAACAAATGGAACGATGATGTGACTAAACGACTAAGTGAGCACTTGGTACTCATCAACAAGAATTATTTGCAGTAATAAAAGATGTGATGATACTTCAGAAATCTTGTTCATTACCATCCAACTTAGGTGGTTGACTGCTTTGATAAAGAGTTAGTCGTACAATCATTATCTACTTTGAGAATTGAAATGCTCACAAAAATACATCATTCAGTTGTTAATAACCAATATCATCTTAACTGGTTCATAAATGTGATTTAATATTATTTATTATTTTCAATGTAGGGTTGTGGAGATGATTAAGTTTTTGATTAAGATCATGAACCGATTGATGTTAGATCGTCGTTGAAAACCTGGTGGCACTGGCTAGTGGTTTCGTCCTATTGTAGGATTCATCAGCAGTGAGCATGCACGATCTCGTTAGTGGGATTAGAACCCAGTGTCTTCAATCTCGCACGTGAATACTTAACCTTTAGACCACTCAGTCGACATCTAACGGTGTTAATGTCTAAGTTCAACAAATCGAAGAAATTGTGCGACTATCTCCCATTGTACTGAGGTAGATACCTGTCTCTACCCCACACGGACTAGCGCCACTGGTCACGGGTTTATTAATTGAGTATCATATGAAAATTTGTATTTATTTTAAGGATATACTTTATCAGTGGTACATGAAAGTCATAGGTTCAATTCAATGTGGAGTTTTTTTTGTGAATTATCGGTGAATAGTCTCAAATTAATGATCACTGAACAAGTTTTTAGTGGTCTCTATTTTTCAATGATATACCCTCTGATACGAATTTTTGGTGGAAATTATAGGATGTTTTAAGCAACACAATTCAACATAAAGTAAATCTAGTGTTTGTATATTTGGACTATGACTAACATTCAAATATGAAGCGTACATTTTATCATATATGGGAATTGTCTTTTAGATGCACTTCTCTTTCGCTATTGATTTCTATACCAAGATTCAACTCTGTATCTATCGCTTTAAACCCCTATTCATTGTCTCTATGCTACTTCACCCAAAGATTCACAATGCGTTTAGTGGATAAAAAGGTACTTGTAAGAGTTTTTCACTTCTCACCTATGTTATTGGTTACCTCAATCCATAATAGTACTATATGCAACCTAGGCGTTTCAACTGTAATGTAATGATCTCAACTATCGATGGAACCACTAAGAGTGCGGTACATCTAATTGATGAATCCCAATTCAGACAAAATATTAAATCTGAATACCAATCCCAAAAATTCTAAAATATTTCATAATAGACTTTAGAGAGATATTACGCTTAGAATGAACATATGGCACTATAAGCTGATCAGTTGGAATCCTGAATATCAACGATAGAACTTTAAAAATATTTGCCAAGATAGATCTATCTTATAATTATTTTCTTATGAGTAGACTCATGAAACGATAATAAAAACGTAATAAATAGCTGGCAATCGTTTTGTTGTGAATAGATATAAATTTATAATTAACATACTGTAGTGTACAAAAATCAAAATGTTTACTAAAAGTTTACAATGATTGTTATGATTAGTTAGAATTTTGATTTATCTAGTTGTAGTATAATCAGTCATTAGAATTCCTTTAGTGATAAGTCTTGCTAATTGAACTCTATATTTGGTTCCTAAGTTGCTATTCTCGTAACCCTCAAGCTAGAACTACACAGCGACTTGAACACGAAAGAAAAGGCACAAAATATTCTAGAAGCACTTTACTCCAAATGTTCGTTTTAGTATAGAAAATATAGGGTTGTCATAGTATTTTAGATGTCCTTGTGTTTCCTGAAAATTCTGGAATGCTGCTAAACATAGTAGTAGTATAGTAATCAGACAATCAGAAACTCTACATGTGATTTTTCACTTTCTTGATGTTTCTAGCTAAACTTCAAGTGAACGCTGATTGGATCAAATGCTTCTTAGTGTTTTCCTAATCCTTTCTTGTCTTTTGTGAGAAGTTTTCTGGATCACTCCAACATTTAGTAACTAATATCTTATACTATACAATCTTCTTTGTATATGATAAGAATTTTGATCTTATTATTTGTGATGTTCTCTAAATTGTCACCATTTTCATTTTAATATTTCAGTTACGTTGTTTCAAATAGTAAATTCCATATAACTCACACAAGTCATCAATAGTACTATGACATGTAATTTTCTAAACTATAGATTTTTCTTGATACTGATACTTCTTAATTAACTGAAATCCAAACATGTGTAATGCGCTGGAAGTGGATAAGACACACGTTGAGAAAAGCACTCAACTGCGTCACAAGACAAGCCCTCACATGGAATGCTCAAGGCCAAAGGAAAAGAGGAAGACCAAAGAACACATTACACCGGGAAATGGAGATAGACATGAGAAAAATGAACAAGAATTGGATGGAATTAGAAAAGAAGACCCAGGACAGAGCGGGTTGGAGATCTATGCTCCATTGGGAGTAACAGGCGTAAGTAAGTAAGTAATTAAGTAAGTAAACATGTGTAATATACATCTTAATTATTCCAGTTAACTATAGTTTATAATTTGAACATTTGACTTCGTATTTTTAACGATTAGCCTACAACTAATCACAACATCACTCATTCAATAGATTTAACACAAGTAAGTAGTGTTTTAAAGATATTTTTAATCGAATAATTGAAGCTTACAATGAATAGATAAGTATTTGTTATATCCCGACTAGAATTATGAATGGTAACTGTTGTGATCCATTTATGAACTAATACTATACACCTATTTTGTATTGTATAATTGTTAAGCAGTTAAACTATGCATATTCATATCCTTCCTATTATAAGCTTCATTTTGACCTGTAGATTATTATTATATGATTTACTGTTCTTGAGTTATGTCTAGTCTATTACTTACAGTCTCTCATAATCACAACCACTTTTGGCAGAATATTGTACAAGTCTTATTTCCTATTTTGTGGTACGATGTGGTCTGTTTAGTTTGTAATATAAAACCAATATGTTTGAAATACATGATTCATATCGTAGAGGCTGAGATCGGTGTTCTAGAGTCAATATACAGATCTAGGCGGGAAGAAGGACCAGTAAAGATTATAGACTGCTCGTACGGGTTTATTTATTATTAATCCAGTCGATAATTCACTGTTCTTTAATTATCGGTATCATTACATTATACATATATATCTTAATAGAGCACAAAGCTACAAATTATAACAGTATTTCAAAAGACCATTGGAGTAAACTGTATTCAGTCATCCAAATCATCATCAGTTAAACAGAATAGGTACCAAATCTTGAAGTTGATGTCTAGATTACGTGTGTTACGTTCCTTTCTCGTATATAGAATATACGCAATCATTTAAACATTTATGGGTTTTTGGAAAAGGTTTAAAGAACAATAACTAAGCTGATTCTCGAAATAGCGGAGCTTTCTCCATGGATGTTCAACTGGTTAAACTAAACTTATTCCTATTGTCATCATAGAAGAATTAGAGGTGACTTGATTACAATTTTCAAATTACTTAATGATAAATTTGTATGTGATATGCCGTCATTTTCTTTTTTTTGTTTTTTGTCTTCTAAGTTCTCAAGCCTAATAAAAAATTACATATTAGCTAACTATCAACTTTCTTATCAAATCATCAACAAATGAAATGTATTATTTCAACATAACATTAAGGTTTCATCTATCGACTCTTTCAAAAGAAAGTTGGATCACCTAAGAGATTATCACTATCATGACTAGTACAGATCATCAGACTTCCTATCCTTTCTAAACTAAAACTGATACTAATATTAAAGAGAGTAAACAATGAAGATTGATACACAATAATAAATGGATTCATTTTATGTTGCTAGCTTCTCATCAATTGCTTACAACCTATTTAATAATTGACAATCAATATTATTACAGATATTGACATACTTATACATAAATATAAGGGTGATTAAAGATGAATCTATGTGAATCATGATATAACGAAGATTCCGATAGAGTTCATAAGATCATTTAAAATGATTTGTTTTGTTTAAATAAAGTTTGTAACGGGAAAATTTCAGATCATTGAACTAGTGATTAGAATTCATAGAGTTAAAAACCATTAGATGATTATGTACTGAGGTGACTGAAAATAGATCAATGATAATAAAGAAATATCAGAAAAGGGTTTTGTGGAGATTGTAGTAATTTAAACAGTTGAAATCATGAGTTAATTGAAGCTAGACCACTGTGGAAAACCTGGAAGCACTGGACGGCCGTTTCGTCCTCGTATGGGACTCCTCAGCAGTGCGCATCCACGATCCCGCACACTGCGAGATTCGAAACCAGGACCTACCAGTCTCGCGCTAGGCGTTTAACCAACTAGACCACTGAGCCAGCATCCAATGGTGTTAATGTCTAACTTCCATCAATACACCGAGATACGCCACCATACACCATTGTCTTCAGTGAGTTACTATCTCACAACTGACCTGGTTGAACTCCACTGGTAACGACTTCTCACTAGAACTCCAAGAGTAAGCAAAGTAAGCAGATAGTAAGCAATCGATGAGAACCTAGCAACATAAAATGAATCCATTTATTATACTGCATCAATCTTCATTGTTTACTCTCTTTAAGACAATAAAGGGAACTATGTATATGATACTGATATATTGATAGATTCAGTCAGTCAGTCAGCTACAACGTAGAACCATGCACTTATGTGCATCGGTCCAGGTTGCCATACCGCATCAGCACAACAAGATGAACACCGGATTCATAACAGTGGTTAGGTAAAAGGTGGTAATATATAAGAGAAAGATTGCATATAGAGATATAGTACCAGAAGAGAGAATTGGTTAGTAGAAAGAAAGATATGAAGCGCTTTTAATCTCTTAGTTTAAGGGAAGAAACCGAGTGTATACACCGGCGCCATTGTGATCGATTCTGAGCCATGTCACCAAGAGTCTCCAACCATTGGTTACGATAGTCACGCGGACCCCAACCAAGTAGTCTGCATCTACCAACATGGCTCAGATTAGAAGTTAGTGACTTCAAGCACTGATGCCACGTTTTGGTTTGGCCGCCCCTAACTTTCTTCCAACCATCCCCAACACCGGATAGCATTGCACGTCGTGGTAATCGGTGTTCAGGCATACGTAACACGTGGCCCAACCATCTCAGTCGATGAAGATTCATAACCTCATCAACTGATTTACCATCATTCCCTAATACCCTGCGTTGAACCTCACTATTACTTACCCGATTATCCCAGCAGACGCCAGCAATATTTCTAAGGCATCTGTGGTCAAATACTAGCAGCTTACGAGTGTCTTCTACTCTTAATGGCCATGTTTCGCTACCGTAAAGTAAAACAGAACGGACTGCCGCGCAGTATACTCGTCCTTTTATTGATAGACGGATATCTCGCCTTCGCCACAGGTGACGTAAGTTGGCAAAAGCCAAACGAGCTTTTCGAATCCGTGCTGAGATTTCGTCCGATACCAACCCATTAGGGCTGATCAGACTTCCAAGATAAGTGAAGTTGTCAACGCGTTCGACTACTTCACTCCCTATCCTTAGTTCAGGTGTTAACGCAGACCAGTCCTGAAGCAACAACTTGCATTTCGAGGGAGAGAAGCGCATTCCAAACATTCTGGCATTGTTGCTTAGTGCTACCAGAAGACTTTGCATTTTGTCAGCGTCTTCACCAAACAGGACTATGTCATCTGCGTATTCTAAGTCGATAAGTGGACCTCCTGGAAAGAGATCAATACCCGAGAACTCAGTCGACGAGAAAGTTATTTCCATCAGTAGGTCTATGATGAAGTTAAACAAAAATGGGGAAAGTGGACATCCTTGACGGACACCACTTGAGGTTGCAAAAGTAGATGACAGTTCGCCATAAGCTCTCACTCGACTAGTAGTGTTCGAGTAAAGAGCCTTCACAAGGTTTATGTACTTCTGAGGTACGCCTTTCAATGACAGACACTGCCACAGAACCTCGCGGTCTACCGAGTCAAATGCTGCTTTTAAGTCAAGAAAGACCACCATCGTCGGACGCCGATAAGTGTGCCTGTGTTCTAGAACCTGACGAATGGTGAATATGTGGTCGATGCAGCCACGACCAGGTCTGAAACCAGCTTGGTTTTCTCGTGTTTGCAGTTCACGAGTCTTAGTTAGGCGTCTGATAATTATCGAGGCTAGTATTTTAGATATTATATTAGTTAAACTAATCCATCTGTGGTTGTCACAGGATGATTTTGACCCTTTCTTATATATTGGGACGATAAGTGATTGTGACCAGTCAGATGGAATAACGTCTAACTCCCAGATCTTAGCTAAAATATTAGTCAACCTAATCGCTAAAATTGGACCACCATCTTTAAAGACTTCTGGAACCAGTCCATCTGGTCCAGCTGCCCTTCCTCGTTTCAGATTATCTATAGCCTTTTGAACTTCAGCAAGAGTTGGGGGACCTACTTCAATGTTCCATTCACGCTGTCTGAGAATGGAGGGTAGTTGTAGAGTCGCTGAAGGCCAGCTGAACTGTTCCCTAAAGTGTTCCGCCCATCGTTCTAAACGTCTGGACTGGGAATAGATGAGAGTATCGTCTTTTTCCGATATAATCTCACTTACACTTGACTTATTAATTCCAGTTTCTTTTATTAGTCTGTAAAGTTGTCTTGTGTTCCCTATAGTCGCCGCCTTTTCCATCTCTTTTGCTTTCGTTGCCCACCACTGCTCACGGTCGTTTCTTAAACTTTTTCTTAACCTAGATCTGATTTGTTGTCGCTCTTCATCATGTTCGGAACCTGATGGGACAAATTTGCGAGAATCCATCAGTGTGATAGACTTTGAAGAAATCCACTGGTTCTTTGAAACTCTGTGGTTTAAGTTGCTAATAGATGTCACTGCTGCTTCCACAGCTGCTTGTATGTCTTTCCAAGCAACATCTGGGTCAGCCTCGTGTTCAGAACTACTTAGGTGTGAACTCAGTTGTTCTTGGAACCTATTTTTGGTTTTCTCGTTGCTCAATTCAGTTCTAATTGGTCTTTTTAATGTGGCTTTTTTGCGTCCGGTGAGGCGCAAGCAGATGCGTGCCCGTATTAGGGCATGATCGGAGTCCAAGCAGGTACTCCAAAATGAGCGACAATCTTCTACCGACCCTCTCCAACGATGACTGATGGCAATATGGTCTATTTGAGTCCATCGTTGGTGTGGTGTAGGGAGTCGCCATGTTAGACGATGTCTCTCCTTATGCTTAAAATTTGTATTTGCTAAAAATAAGCGATTGTCTGAGCACAGTTGCAGCAGACGATCACCATTATCTGTTCGCTGTGCCGGAATGCTAAAATATCCACCTAAATGCCTTTCTGTTTGGTTTAAGCTACCTATCTGCGCATTAAAGTCACCCCCTACGAGTACTATGTCTGAGCGTCTAGCTTTCTGAAGAAGTTCAGAAAGCTTCCTGTAAAATTCATCCTTCACTTCATCGGAGCTGCAGTCAGTGGGAGCGTAGGCAGAAACGACAAAAAGGCAACGACGTGTGTCCCTATCCTTCCGAGTTCTTACGGAGCCGTTTAGCCGAACAGCACATAGACGACTGTTGATGGGGATCCACTCTAGCAGTGCTTGTTCCGCCCTCATGCTTAGTGCTATGCCTACACCTGCCAGTCCACGAGAACTGGCCATCGGGTCACCAGATACACGAAGGGTGTATCTCGTTGGCTCTCCGTTTTGCCGAGGTGAGGTCAAGTGAATGACCACACTGGAATCCTGTATGCGTGTTTCGGAGACACAGCATACATCGATGGAAAGAGACTCTAGGGTTTTAGCCAAGGAAGCCTGCTGACCGATTTGACATAAAGTGCGTACGTTGAAAGCTCCAATGTGTAGTTTGGAGCGAGGTTTCAGTAGACCTGGGACAGAGTTTTGAGCACTAGAATCGTTGGCTATGGTGACACTTGAGGAAGAAGCCGAAGGAGGAAGTTTAGGGTTGAAAGTCGATGTAGGAGGAATAATAGGAATTGAAGAGGAAGGTTGATTATGAATACAGTGGTCTTGGGTGCTGTTAGGGGTATGAGGGCGGTTATCACTTCCCGGTTGCCCACACCGTGGAAGGGTTCTTCTGGAGGTACCTGAAAAGGAAATTGGATTAGAGGCGGTCTCGGCGACCTGAGAGCGTGACCGCAGTGCCCAAGGGATAACTGCTTGAGGCCGGTCGCGCACGGCCTTTCCGTGGAAGGTTTTTGACATGTTAGCTCCGTTCTTCAAAGGGCCTTACCGCCGGAGACGGAAATCCGTGGGGTAAGGTGAGGTGTGCATTTTTAGGGTCGACCTTTTCTAACCCCACCCCTCCTTGTGGGAAGGCAGCATCGCTGTCATGCTGGTTGTCTGAAGGAAACACCTTACTGCTGTCACACCTCTGTACAGTCAGCAGTACGACTTCGCCTTCGGACCTTAGGTTTGTTGCTTTTAGTCTTACCGCTCTTCAACCGACCTGTCTGACATGGTAGGACCTTGAGGAACGGTTGTTCCAGCCAGTATAGCTCGGTTGCTTCATCACGATAGGCAAGCCCGACCACCACGTCAAGGTAGCAACAACGGTCGGGATATTGATAGATTACATTCTATTTATTAAGGTATAATACAACATTTTACATAAACAAACCTTTAGATTGATTTATCTTTATACAATTTTCATTTGATATAATAGATAATTGATTATTGAATATAATATCATTAGATTTAATTGATTGATCTTGTTTATCATTTATTGATTTTTTATTAATTTTATTATGTAATTTATTTTTATTGATTTTTGATGAATGAATTATTGACATAAATGGACATTGTAATAAAAGTTTTTCAAATTCTTCAGTTGATTTTACAAATGATGGATGTTTATGAAATGAATTTTGTTTAGATTGCATTATAATTGTGTTCCTTTTTTTTGGGGGGGGAGAAAGAGTAACGAGCTAGGGGAACTTTATAAAGTAATTTTTAAATCAAAATTAGTTGGATACTCTTGTTGTTGTAGTTGTCATGATACTAATGATTCATTAAATAATGATTGAATAAATAATATTTTTTTTAAATCCAATGAAAAAAATCAATAAAATTGGGCGATAACCATGGAAATTTATTGGTTTATAATAAATAATTAACCAATCAAATTATATTAATGGGTAAATAATTATTTATCTTTTTTCTCGTTTCAATGAGTTAATCATTATAGCATATTTCTTTAGTGCAACGTCAATCAGATATAATAGAACTTTAATAAAGATATTAATTCATCATGCTAGAATGATTTACTTGGATGACATTATGGTTAATATTGGTAACTTGCTTAGTAGGAATGGATACATAATGAAATTCATTGACAAATATATGAAGGAGGACAATTGTACTTATCTAAATTTACATGGTGTTGTTTTACTTGTATCTTCCCATTGTTATTTAGGTCTACAATTGATTAGTCTGTTGTTGGCATATGTGCATCCTGTGCGGATTGACTCGCTATAGTTGTAAGTCACAGACTTTTTAAGCAAAGATGGATAGTGGCTAGCAATGTCTATATCGAGGGAATCCGTACAGGATGCACATATGTCAACAAGAGACTGATCAATTGCAGTCCTAAATAATAATGGGAAGATAAAAGTAAAGCAACATCAAGTGAATTTAAATTTCAACCCAGTGTACAACTATGTGGCTATCAGAACTCAGTAGCTAAGTGGATAATTTGATGACGTTTGAAGCAAACGGTACTGAGTTCGAGTCCTAAAGTCAACACCAACTCTGAGATTCAGGTACATCCAGCTGACGAGTCCGAAATAGGACGAAACGCGAGTTCAGGATTTCACTGCAGGCTACAATCTATAATTGTATCTGCCATACTGAAAAAAGTGATGTTCTTAAAATTACAATTCTTAAATGATACTACTGAAGAAATTATGACTCAAACGTTAATAAAGTCTGTACAAAAAGCATTTTATGCAGCCAGACTAAGTACCGTCTTCTACAAACACCCCATAATAAAAACGGTTATAAAGTTACTGACTAATTTTTTATATCTATGTGTACTCACCAATTCAACTGCTCCTGTAGACCCAGTTTTATACCGTGTACAATTCGGTAAGTCTATCATCGAATAACAAAACATCATCAGTTTTCGTTGACTAAAAGACAATTAAGAGTGATAACGAGTTTTCTTCTCGTTCACTTGATAAGTGGAATTGAATAAAGATTTTAAGGTCATCCAGCATATTCCATCAAATTTGTCGCATCGTCTACGAGTTCGTTTTTTGCACATTAAAGCCATTAGAATCCATGTTTGCAAACCAAGCTTGTGCGTCTAAAAGAAGTTTGTACAATCACTCGCTTCCTTGGCTATCGGTGTAAGATCGAGTTGGTAACAAAACTTTGACAAACTACTTTAGTATTTCTTCCAACACCATGGAAGACCTGGAAGATCTGGACGGCAATTTCGTCCTAGTATAAGACACCTCAGTAGTGCACATCCACTATCCCACTCTCAGCGCTCGAACCCACAACCTTCTGGGGTGGATGCGCAATGCTGAGGAGTTTCACACTAAGACAAAACTGTCGTCCAGTGCTTCCACTTTATCTATGGTGGTCTAGGTTTAGTCGAATAATGAATTCAACTATTAAATTACCACACTCTTCACATAACCTTTTTTCTGATATGGAAGTAAGTTTACTTTTATGCAAATTTTGTCTTTTGTGATAACAGTCATATACTTGAATACTTTCTAAAATACCATTGTACTTCCTAGTTCTTTACAGTAGATTAATTTATGAATAAAATATCTTTGAAGTAATGTTAAAGTTTAAAAGGTGGGTGTTACTTTTAATGATAATGATATTAGAAATACTCTGTTTCCTGAATAGAACTCGCAAAATAATTCCTGAAGATGTTTTCTTTTGAGTTCATTGTTGCTAATACATACCAGAATTATGTTCTGTATAAAAACTACCATGTGATTATAATGTTTACTTTTATTAAGAATTTCATACAGTTCTGAGTAAAGCTACTATTTGTATTATTAGTGTCAATAATAATACACAGAATACAACACTAATCAAGTGCCTAAAAGTGTTAACAAACATAGAAGACGATGGAATTCACCTCGATAATCATTATGATTTTTGATGATCGAGGGGCTAAAAAGCTGATGTATACTATTTAAAAATAATTTGAAAGGTAATAATAATCAATACAACTTCTAATTGTGAACTAAATCCCGCTAGACACCTAAATGAAAACCAGTGAAAACTGGAATATTATATGACACTTCTCAACAATATGTATACTTGATAGATAGAATCATAGTCAGATCATAGTATTGCAGTTCAATAGCATACATTCTCTATTTTAACTGTCGTTCATCTGAATGATTTTCAGTTCATGAGAAGATGATTGAATATCATTCATCAATCTTCAACTTACTGAAGTAGTACTAAAGTAGTCAAATGAAAAGAACTAAACAAATTCAATTTAGTTAATGGAATAAACTTTTCTGGTTTATGTATATATGTAACCAGAAACAGGATGTACAGTGTGCACAACCTTCAATCTCTTAGTTCTATAAAATTTCTTTAAAATTAGTTATAGTTTAAATGGACCCAGGACCTACTGGCTTCGCGCGCGAGCACTTAACCACTAGACCACTGAGCCGGCATCCAACGGTGTTAATGTCTAACTTCAACCAATCCACGAAGTTGCGCCGCCGTACACCATTGCTCGCGCGCGAAGCCAGTAGGTCCTGGGTTCGAGCCCCGTGTGGTCCGGGATCGTGGATGCGCACAGCTGAGGAGTCCCACACCAGGACGAAACGGCCGTCCAGTGCTTCCAGGTTTTCAATGGTGGTCTAGCTTCAACTGACTCATGATTTCAACTTGTGACAATAGTTTCATTGTACTTAACTTATAATCGTATATATCTTTTCTTTAGTTAATGTCAATGATAGCAAATGGTCTATTTTAGTTGCAGTTCTTGACATTTACAACAACGAGAAACATTAACACTTATAAATTAGATTCATTTATGTTGCCTGAACTGATTGATTATCCGAACTCAATAGCACTCACTCGATAGTGAGCTAGCATTTTAATCAAAACAAACTTGACTCGAATCCAAGAGTAAACACCAACATTAGGGTCTAGCTCACGAAATCTAAATAAGAAAGAAACAACTTCCTAGATTTAAATACTAGACAATGTTTGAGCCTAATGTTATGGTACTCTTGTATATGATTCTCAGGTCGTACAGTGGCATAATTTCGTGGATTGGTCGAAGTTAGATATTAACACCGTTGGATGCCGTCTCAGTGGTCCAGGAGTTAGGCGTTCGAACCTCACGGACGCCATCGTGGATGAACACTGCTAAGGAGTCTTATATTAAAACGAAACGTCTGTGCTAGTGCTTTCACGTTTTCCATAATGGTCTAGCTTCAATTGACTTATGAATTCAACTAAAAAGTTACTAAAATCTCTACAAAATCCATCTATAACCTCTTTATAAATCATGAACATATAAATATTGATCGATTATCACACTTATTCTATAGAAAAATTGGAATCGAAAAAATGAGATCATTATAGAAATTAATTATTGATTTAAGATTTATGATTAATATATAATGGAAACAAAAAACAAACTGAAGATTAAGAAAAATCAATCAAATTTTATGATATGAAATTATCCGTCTTTCATGTTTATTCACCATGGCAACTAAATGTACATCATAATATTTTATTGTTTTTTATGTTTATCAAACCATGATTTCATAAATAACATATAATATCTCCAAATTGAATTTGGTAATAAACTAGTGAAATATTCTTTAATTGCATGACCCATATAACCAAATGTTTCCTTTTCAACACCATACATATCTAATGCACATTTAACATATTCTTTTGCATTCGGGACAAATAATGACATTTTACAATAACCATTCATTGCTGTAGATACAAACATTGGACAAACTGTTTGTATATGAATACGATGATCATAGTTCTCATTAGAGATGGATCGAGATAATTGATTCACAAATGCTTTTGTTGCTGAGTATAATGATAAAAATGGGAAAGCTCTATAACCAGAATGTGATCCAATATTAATGATAGCCATACCAGTTGTTGATTGTTTTAACATTTTTGGTAATACTATATGGGTCATCATAGCAATAGGTAAATTATTACAAAAAACGATGTTTTTAATAAAATCTATAGTTATATAATCTGCTGTTGCGTAATAGTCTAATTTAGGAACACCCATACCAACATTATTCACTAAACAAGCAATTGATGATAATTGATTTATAGCTTCTTGTATTCTTTGATAGACATCAGTCTGTGAAAAGAAAAGAATAAAACGTGAATCGATTAATATGGAATAAAATAATTTCAATGGTTGAGATCATGAGTCAATTGAAGCTAGAATTCTAGTGGGAAGCAATGATCAATGGAATTCAACTGGGTTTGTTGTGAGATAGTAACTCATTGAAGATGATGACGGATGTGTGGCTCAATTTCATGAATTAGTTAAAGTTAGACATTAACACTGTTGGATGCCGGCCAGCTCAATGGTTTAGACATTAATCGCTCGCGCATGAGACCGATAGGTCCTGAGTTCGAATCGCGCGAGGCGGGATCGTAGATGCGCACTGATGAGGAGTCCGGCAATAGGACGGAACTGTCGTTCAGTGCTTTCAGGATTTTCCATAGTGGTCTAGTTTCAATTGGCTCATGATCTCAACCAATGGAATTACTATAATATCCACAAAATCCCCTTCTGATCTAAAAAATTTTTAGTTTGAAATTAGCTTTGAGAGACAATCATTAAGAATAGGGAGTAATAGACAAGTGTTTTTCATTAGTATGCAACTATTTTATAGTACTCGCCTACAAGCTAGATAGGATTCTTGTTCATTTTGAAAACATAAAGGACAAATTTAAGAAAAAATACATATGAAAACTTATTTACAAGTTAATCTGTATAGATCCTGAGAAGTAATACACTAGACAAAGAGGTAGTTCATTATACCAATAGTAATACATATGCTAATCCATTTGAGAAACTATGAAATTGATCTAAAACAAGATCCTATAAAACTCTAAGATCTCGTTCTAAACGTGATGTGACTTTATCAATGTGTTTAATCCTAATCCATTAAACAAGCACTCTAATCTTCTGCGAATTTTCAATCAATACTTCTTCGATTTAAACAAACGGAATATACCCATTAAGACAGTAAATAAGAAAGATTAGTTCAGTGAAGTGTTCTCTTTTCGGTGAATTCATTTTCAAAGTCGTACAATCGTAAATGAATATATACTTATGGTTTTTTCTCAGGATGATAATAAACTTCTGTTAGACATGGTAACAGTGAGGTGAAATGAAGAAAGATATGGCTATTGTTTCGTCAATGCAAAGAAGACGGAGAGTCTGTCTTGATTGAGTGACCTGTGTTCACAAGGTGTTCGATTATTGAACTTCTTATTGAACCATTTCTTCCTCTTCTTAGTCACGCCGGATAGTGTTCTTGAATTATTTTGGATAAAGTACGTATCGAACGACCTATATACATTGCTCTACATGAGCAGGTAAATTAGTCATATGCGATAATTAGTGAGCAATGATCGGCTGGACAATACTATTCGCAATGGTGCTGCGAAGAATGAACTCTTCGCTGAACTAATCTTTCTTATTTAAAATTTAACAATCTCATTCCATGACATTATAGGTTATGCTTTTTGTATTATAACCGAGATATATACATCGATCATGTTTTCAAATACAAAAGAACTATTATTATAAATCCCATCTAATCAATCAACCACTACTGAATTAATTACTTCTATGAATTCGGAGTTCATCTTGTTATGCTAATAAGGTAAGGCTACTTGGACCGATGCATATATATGCCTGGTCCTATGATGTAACCGACTAACTGACTGACTGGTCATTACTAAACTTTTTCTTAATATTCAAATAATCTTAATTTATCACTAATAATACTCTCACATACCTATATTTTCAATGCAATTTTGATGATATTTTCTTTATGGAATTCAGATATAAGTAGTTATTAAATATATAAGAGAAATTTGGCGGTCTGTTTGAATAGTTAGGCTACTTGTTCCAGCCATCTTGATATTTCAGCAAGTTATCAACTTTTGAAGGCGCTTTTGTGGATATTATAGTAATTTTAATACTTGAAATTATGAGTCAGTTGAAGCTAAACCACCATGGAAAACCTGGAAGCAATGAGCAACCGTTTCCTCTTATTATGAGACTCTTCAGCAGTGCCCATCCACGATCTCGCCTCGTGAAACTCGAACTCAAGACCTATCGGTCTTGCATGCGAGACCATGTTGGTTTAGCTTTAATTGGCTAATGACCTCAACTATTAAAATCATCTAATTTTGTTTAGTTTATGCCTGTTAATCGCATAACCCAATTGAAGTGCATTTCTTAAAAATGTACAATCTTTCGTTGTACGAATTATAAAAGGTCCAATCAGAGATATTGTGGTTGCTGACAGTATGCAGCTAAAATAATCTACATGAGTTAAATGTCAATTGACTAGACTACTAACTTCTATCTGACGATCACTGAATATCGATCAAGAAATAAGAAACGGAAATGTTTTTTTAAAATATTTTGTACTGACCATTCTATTTTGTACCAAAAATATAATATTGAATAAAGTAATTATAATAATAACACAACCTACGGAAAGGTAGACACATAGTCGTTTAGATTCTCAGTACAATTGAATAGTTACTGAACTAAATGTCGGTTTCGAAAGATCATATAGTGTCTAAATAAAGACTACCATAACAATCTTATAATTAATAAGAATGTTAACCTATATAAATATAGAAATTTCTATTTATATACACTCACGGCCAGACTATAATTTATACACAAACCAATCAGATGTAAGATAACAGGTTTCGAATTTTGGCTCGAAATCCACACATCCATTTGCCGAAATAGTGTATTGGCATTATAGCTGATGTTAGTTCGTGATGAAAACCATATATCTAATTCCTAACCATAACCATCAATTGTAAATCTTTATTCGAATTCTTCATACAGGTTTATAATCCAGATTTAGACATAGTACTTAGGTAGACACTCTCAACGTTAGTCTGTCGTCACTCAAATGCGGTCGATAAATTATAGTCTCACTTATACTGACTTACCTTTGTAAAATCAGCTGTTACTATTCTTGTCTCTACATGATAATTACGTTCAATTTCATTAGCAACATTCAAAAGTTTCTCTTCATTTCTACTAATCAACATAATTTTTAAACCATCATTAGCTAATTCTTCTGCATATACTTTACCAATTCCATCTGTTGCACCAGTGACAATTGCCCATTCACCAGCTTGTTTTAATAATTTCCTTTTAGAAAATAATCTCTTTCCAATTGTATAAATGAATATGATGTATAGAAGAGAGATGAATTGTTTAATTAGAAATAAACAAATTATAACACGAATGAGATAGATCCAATCCATCTACAAAATGGAAAATAAGACAACTGACAAATCGAAGATGTTAATCTATTCAATGATTTAACTTAAAGTACATTTTCATTATGAACTGTTGTCAGTCAGAGACTATAAAGTACTGAAAGCCTATGGTAGATGCAACTGTAGCTTAGCTTCAATGAATTATCATACTCACCAGAAGACTAAATGGTTGTGGACTCAACGACTTCTGAAGTGGGTTCATACAATCCAGGATTCAAAAGAGTGGAGATGATGATAGTTAACTAGATTTTTCCTTATATTTACAGTAGACAAATATATTAACTACTTACTTACTTTTTCATGCCTCTTACTCCCAATGGAACATAAGCCGCCGACCAGCATTCTCCAACCCATTCTATCATGGGCCTTCCTTTCCAGTTCTATCCAATTTTTGTTCATTTTTCTCACGTCTATCTCCATTTCCCGCTGTAATGTGTTCTTTTGTCTTCCTCTTCTAATTTGGCCTTGAGGATTCCATGTGAGGGCTTGCCTTGTGACGCAGCTGGGTGTTTTCCTCAATGTGTGTCTTATCCACTTCCAGTGCTTCTTCCTGATCTCTTTCTCCACTGGAATCTGGTTTGTTCTCTCACAATAGATTATTGCTGATAATGTCTGTTCAACGAATCCGACGTACTTTGCGTTGAAATCTGTCACCAAACACTTGTATCTTCTAGATGATGGTTTTCGTAGTTCTCCAGGTTTCCGCCCCATATAGTAAAATTGTCTTCATATTTGTATTGAAAATTCTGACTATGGTGTTAGTTGACAATTGTTTTGAGTTCCAAATGTTCTTCATTTGTAAATATGATATTCTTGCCTTGTCGGTCTGCGCCTTCACATCTACATTAGATCCAACATGTTCATCAATGATGCTGCCTAAATATGTGAAGGTTTTTACATCTTCCAAATCTTCTCTGTCAATTGTGATTCGGTTGGTGCATGCTGTGTTGTATTGTAGACTCTTGCTTATCCTTTGTTTATGTTGAGACCTACCGCTGCTTAGGCTGCTGCTTCACTGATCGTCTTCTCCTACATTTGTTGTTGCGTGTGTGACAGAAGAGCTAGATCATCTGCGAAGATCTTCCAACTGCATCCTAACTGTCCACTGTATCCAATGCTTCTTCCCCGCCCCCAGATGTTGGCGTCTTCATGATCTAGTTGATCACCAGGAGAAAAAGAAAGGGTGAGAGTAAGCAACCTTGCCTGACAGCGGTCTTTACTTCGAAGTAGTCTGTCAATTGTTCTCCTTGCACAATTTTGCATTTTAATCCATCTTATGAATTCTGTATGATATTGACTATCTTTTGAGGCACGCCGTAGTGTCGAAGAAGCTTCCATAGTGTTGTTCTGTCCACGCTATCAAATGCCTTTTCGTAGTCAATGAAGTTGATGTAGAGTGATGAATTCCATTCAATTGATTGTTCCACAATGATCCGTAGAGTTACGATTTGGTCAGTACACGATCTATCCTTACGGAATTTTGCCTGTTGGTCACGAAGTTGGGCGTCTACGCAGTCCTTCATCCTGTTTAACAATACGTTGTTGAAGACTTCCCGGTATTGCGAGAAGAGTAATGCTTTTGTGGTTGTCGAACTTACTAAGATCATCTTTCTTTGATGTCTTGATGAGATATCCTTCTTTCCAATTTGTTGATACTTGTTTTTCATTCCAAATCTTATTGAAGAGAATGTGGAGTATCTTTGCAGTTACTGCTACATCTAATTTCAATGACTCCGCTGGAATGTTGTTTAGTCCTGATGCTTTACCCCTCTTTATATGTCCAATGGACATAAGACAAATATATAATTGTACAAAATATATTTCTTATTACCCATTCACTAATCTCAATATTTTGACAAATATTTATCATTCACATATTTACATTTAGCATATACTTTGAATGAATTACACATTTGACTGCATAGTATCTCATTTAAACATTAGATTAATTAATTTTAACAACTTACTTGTTAATGGTAACTGAAAAACCAAAAAAAAGAAGAAAGAAGAGAGAAACTATATATACTCGATCAATTCAATGTGATTATGTGCTAAATGAACCAATCAAATGTCAAGACAAATGATCAATGTAAAAATGATCAATGTCATTATGTATTTTAATGAAACTTGTGATTGAAATGGGTTTTTTTTTCTTATTTAGCAACAAAATGTATTTTGTAATGAATGAAAGTGTATTTGACAAAATTTCAGTTTTTAAAAACAAAAAAAAAGATTCATGGATTGGATATTGATGTTCAATTTATCAATAGTTTACCATTGTTTTTCTTATGAAAATCGTTCAATCTATCAGTTTCGATGTTTGTTTGTTTTCCATTTTGGCAGCAAATTGGATGATTCTCTCGGTCTCACACATTATACAAGCATTGCATGTATCTAGATAAATGGTTATTCTGGTTATCAAAAGGGGTCTCGTCACTTCCGAAGGAATTCGGCATTCATCATATGATGTCATAACTCTTGTATACGAAGATTTTCCAATTCCCAGGACTGAGTTTAAATGGCTTGAATTATTTTGTCTGTTTAATATTTTAAAGCGAGTTAGGTTTCTATGGGATGGGGTCGCTAACCCCGTTTTCAACCCTCCTCTTTTTTGTGGGCTTGGGATCGGCAGTAGCCCCAGAGGAGCCCCATGCGGAGTTCAATAATCATTATCAGTTAAACTATATGAAATTGATAGGTAAACCGTTGAGAATGATTGCGAACATTTAAATCTTACAAGGTGTTACTCACTGTACATTTAGGTGATTGTCAAATTTTCTTATTTTCATTTGGAAGAGAAAAGATTGAGATTACTGAAGGGATTATCAGTTTGTTTAATATTTAAGATACACCATTCGAAACAGTTAACCCACCATGTTATTCTTCATGCCTACCAAAAATGATGATTACTAACATACTTTATCAAATAACAGTTCTCTTGTTATCATCCATGAAGTTTTTGAACTAACGTACATTTGTGAGTTATATAAAATAACTACTCACAAATACTCATGATGTTATTCTATCATACTTTATCTTAATCTTTGAATTCCAATGTCAATCAGTTCCTGATTGTCTGACTCATTTACATAACTTATTCATTATCATCCTTACTTACTTACCTACTTACTTACTTAGTTACTTACTTAGTTACTTACTTACTTACTTACTTACTTACTTACTTACTTACTTACTTACTTACTTACTTACTTACTTACTTACTTACTTACTTACTTACTTACTTACTTACTTACTTACTTACTTACTTACTTACTTACTTACTTACTTACTTACTTACTTACTTACTTACTTACTTACTTACTTACTTACTTACTTACTTACTTACTTACTTACTTACTTACTTACTTACTTACTTACTTACTTACTTACTTACTTACTTACGCCTGTTACTCCCAATGGAGCATAATCATCCAGTCAACTAAAAATGATAATCAACTGATTATATTTAATAGAGATTAAAAACAATGTGAACAGGAACTTAAATCAATATGGAATCATATCATTTTCTCAACTGTTAAAATATGAAATAGTCATACAAACAATAAATAGAAAATATTCTTTACAATAACATCCATGTGGTTACATATTTACGGTAACACGAAACATTCACACCATCAGGTAGGTTTGCGATTCAATAGTAGTATCAATCACGAATAGTTTTCAAGTTGTTAATGGTTGATTAACTGCATATTCTAAGTCCTATCTTTTCATTCTATATGACGTGTACTACTGATAATGAACATATAAGTAGTTTGAATTCTTTTATAATCATTTCCAGTGTTTGTTTTTTCTAGCAATTTTTGAATGATGTTATGAATCATATATTACATATTACATATTATCTTTCAGGACGATGAAAATGCGTTCACAGTTTGAGTATATTAGAAGTCAATAACATATAAATAATTACTGATTTAAATAATCCAATTACTTTAATTTGTAATAAGTTTAAGGGAATTGAAGAGAGAGATTGATTATGAATACAGTGATTTAGAGCGCTTTGAGATGTGTGCGGGCGATTATCACTTCCGGGTGCCCACACCGTGGAACGCTTCTTCTGGAGGTACCTGAGAAGGAAATTGGATTAGAGGTATTCTTAGAGATCTGAGAGCGTGACCGCAGTGCCCAAGGGACAACTGCTTGAGGTCGGTCACACACGATCTTTTTATGGGTAAGTTTTGTGTTAACTCCGTACTTGTTGAGACCTTACCGCCGGAGACGGATATCCGTTGGATAAGGCGAGGTATGCATTTTTAGGGTCGACCTTTTGTAACCCCAACCCTCCTTGTGAGAAGGCAGCATCGCTGTCATGCTGGTTATCTGAAGGAAAAACCTTATTGCTGTCACACCTTTGTAAAGTCAGCAGTACGACTTCGCCCTCGGACCTTAGGTTTGTTGCTTTTAGTTTTACCGCTCTTCAGCCGACCTGTCTGACATGATAGGATCTCGAGGAACGATTATTGCAGCCAGTATAGCTCTATTGGTTCATCACGATAGGCAAGCCCGACCACGACCTCAAGGTAGCAGCAACGATCGGGAGTAAAAGGTTTAATCAGTGTTAGATAAGAAATGAAATATTGTGTGATGCTGTATTGTTTTAGTAAAAATGAACGAATGTGTTAATTTGGCTGTGATTAACTATGTGAAATTAAAAAGTGAACAGAGATACATAATCATTTTCAAAAGGTGATCATAGCAGAGAAGTGACGTTGTGCAAAGCTCAACACAAGCTGTAACTAACAAAGTGGAGTATACACAATTCAGGAACCTGACGCATGTTTTTGTCTTAATTTGTCACACTATACAGGTACATTGAGATGAACTTGTCAAAATAGTGGGAAGTATCAGGTATAAACCATATGATAAGAGGGGTAATAATGAATTTAGAGATTAAAACAAACTTTAAGTAATTTTGAAATTTAGGATCTAACGCACAATGTACCTTTTCTGAACATTGTCATTCGTCTCTCATCATCAATAAATATAGCATTACGAACCACAACGACATAGTCAGCATTAACCAACATGGTTGGATCTATCAAAAAACCATTTCATGATAGTAACGTAGGCTACTGAATCAACAAATGTTTTCATTCAACGAAATGGAATGGTCCTGTAACTTCGTAACAAACATAGTCTATTTCTGATAGCGCCAAGAAATTACCAACTGTATTTATTATCAGTTAAATTCTTATAATCTAATAGATTACAATCTCAGTAAACCTTTAAACCGAGTGAGATTGAGAATTAGTTATTTAGACAAAATGATAGTTACTCATCACAACTCCCGCCATTTGCTAAAGTCTTCGTAGTGTTAGGTCTTTTACTTGATTAACGCCGAACACGATAAACAACTAACGGTACTCGAACTCACAGAACCCCAACGGTCTCAAATCAGAAGACAGAAGAAACGGGATAAGTGGTTATTAGGTAAGAGTCAAAAATGTACAAAAAACCATGGCTGTTCATAGATATTAGCGTCAGCTATAACATCATTATAATTCAGCTAATCCACAAGGACGCAAGTCATGCGACTGTCCAACCGCAGCGTGCAACGTTGATATTCTAAAAAACACCATCAGGTTTTGATTGGGTGGCAACTACTTGGCTCTTTAGAGCTTCTGGAAGCTCCATCGTGCTTCTCAAAAGCCGTCTCAACATAAAGCAACCATATATCAGAAAAACCTTTTGGTGACACTATTAAAAATTCCAATACCAGGACAAAACGGCCATCCAGTATTACCTAGCTTACATTAGCTTCATAGCTAAGTTTGTAAATCAAGCTATGAAAATAAGAGAAAAATTGAGTATAGTATACATAATCACACGGATCGATCAATAATATTTTTTAGCCTTAGATCATTCAGCTTTTCCTCAGGTAAACATATATATTATCAAAAGGAGGTTTTGTGGAGATATTAGTAATTTAATAGTTGGATTCATGAGTCAATTAAAGCTGGACTATAATGGAAAACCTTAAAACACTGGACTGTCGTTTCGTCCTAGCATGATACTCATCAGCCATGCACATCTACGATCCTACCTCGCGCGCGAATGCTTAACTTGTAGACCAATGAGCCGGCATTCAACAATGTTGATATCTAACTTCAACATAAATAGTGTGTAACATTAATCAAAACTTGAATAGCTGTCAGTAGAAGACTATTTATTTTATTTTATTTAAACACATAAAAATTGGTAGAAGGAGGCAATCCCTTGGTAGCCGGTGACAAATAATTGATTCATACACCATTTGTTACCTTAGGATCCTGGAACGCATGTGCACCATTGGTTTGGGATCAGAGTTTTCCAACTCCTCTAGGTGAACTCTCCGTGTCCACCAACCCGGTTAAAGCGCCAGACATTCACTTTTCGTCCTCTCGATTTCGTTAACAATACCCGAGCCGCGAGAAGGCAGTGAGTAGAACTTCCCTGGAAGTAATTTTATGCATGTGGTCAGAAGACTAAGAAGATTAGATTGAAGAGAACAGAAATGAAAATAGAAAGGGATTGTAACTTGAAAAAAAATCATACAATATGTAGGAGGGATAATTGAGGGAAGGTTTGCAATTGAAGGATTTAATACATAGTTCTCACATTTTACGAAGATATTCTATAGTCTGTATTGAAAAATACAATGGTTGCCTCCATCTGACTTCTTGTTCATGACACATATATATCCATCTTTTATACTTTATTTTTAATCTTTTTTCTAAACTGTTATATGTTACCTAAATCATAAATAAATTGATTATATGGAATCTATCATTAAAACATTGATGCTTTAATAAGATCTACTTTAAATAAGATATCATTCACTTTACTTTGTCAGAGTCATTCAACAGAATATCGATCAGAAATATAACTATTTAGATTGTTTATTCTTCATTTAAACAATCTTGAGAATGTTTCTGATATATGAGTAAGAATGATAATGACTGCCTTTATGAAGTATTTCCTGGAGTTCTCATGAGAAGCAGTGATCGGTGGAGTTCAACCTAGTCTGTTGTGAGGTAGTAACTCAATGAAAACAATGGTGTATGTATCGCTCAATTTTGTGAATTAGTTGAAGTTATAAATTAACACCGATGGATGGAGGTCGGCTCAGTGGTCTAATGGTTAAGCGTTTGCTTGCGAGATCGATAGTTCCTGGGTCCGTATCTCTCAAGGAGGGATCGCGAATACACACTTCTGAAGAATCTTACAATACGACAAAATGGTCGTTCAGTGCTTTCATGTTTTCCATGATGGTTTAGCTTCAATTGACTCATCATCTCAACTATTGAAATTTCTATAATATCCACCAAACACCCCTTTTGATAATAATGATTGTTTGTTTGCTTAATCAGACTTGTAGATGGTCTGACAGACGTTAGATGAGTTATATATTCTCCTATCGTTATTACTGATTGTTTATTGTTGTTGGATTGTGTCAGATCGTTGTAGGTTTTTAGTATGGAAATATATTTACGTTCCAGTCAGACTAATCACATGTTGTTGATCTGAGTTGTGTTGAAGTCCAGTAGAATAGACAATAGAAGGGAACCTACTGTAGATATTAATCTAAGGTACATTAAGTATCATTCGTGTAGATTGCTCACTGAACATTGATTCAATCAATTATAAATCATTTAAAAATATAGCATTAAAAAGGTTTAATCATCTTGTTCCGGTTAAATTGTGTTACAGTAAAGTGTATTGATTACGTAATTTATAAATTCATTATATACTTTGAATGAACTCTAGATATTTATTATTACACAGTCAGTCAGTCAGCTACAACGTAGGACCAGGCACATATGTGCATCGGTCCAGGTTGCCATACCTCATTAGCACAGCAAGATGAACACCGAATTCATAGAAGCGGTTAGGTCAAAGGTGGTAATATATAGGAGAAAGATTGCAATAAGGATATAGTATAGGAAGAATGAATTAGTTAGTAGAAAGAAAGAAAGATTTGAAGTGATTTTAATCTCTTAGTTTAAGGGAAGACAGGGAGTGTATACACCACCTACGCCATTGTGATCGATTCTGAGCCATGTCACCAAGAGTCTGCAACCATTGGTTACGATAGTCACACGGACCCCAACCAAGTAGTCTGCATCTACCAACATGGCTCAGACTGGAAGTTAGTGACTTCAAGCATTGATGCCACGTTTTGGTTTGGTCGCCCCTAACTTTCTTCCAACCATCCCGAACACTGGTTAGCATTGCACGTCGTGGTAATCGGTGTTCAGGCATACGTAACACGTGGCCCAACCATTTCAGTCGATGATGATTCACAACCTCATCAACTGACTTACCATCATTCCCTAATACCCTGCGTCGGACCTCACTATTACACAGTAGTAAGTATAATATTTCTATATTTTGTTCATATTATCTTACACTTCTGTATATGACATTTTTTTGTAAAATAAAAGATAGTACATGCAAAGATGGATAGTGGCTAGTATTAGAAACCAGGATGCGCGCCGCTTCTTCCTATTTGGTGCTCATCAGCTGGATGATTCTGCATCTCACAGTTGATTTTCACTCTGTTTCTCGAACCAAGTAACGTTTTCTTCAAATGCCATCGCGTTACCCACTTAACTACTGAGCTCTGATAGCTGAAATCAGGATTTTCCAACTATCCTAAATAGATCCTCCATATCCATCAACTAGGTTAAAGCGCCGGACAATCACTTTTCATCCTCTCAGTTTTGTAAACAACATTCTTACCGCAAGAAAGTATTGAGAAGGACTTCGCTGGAAGTGATTAAATCAAAACAGAACATTGTGTATCAGATAGTGATCAAACAAAACTCAATAAATAAATAGCATCAATCGGTTCATTATCTCAATCAAAAACCTAATCATCTCCACAACCATATACTGATAATTGCCATGTGCTCACAAGTGACTAGTTTCGTGAATCATTTCCCCGAGTTCTAGTGAGAAACCGTGACTAGTGGCCCTGATCCGTGTCGGGTAGAGAAAGGCATCTACCTCACTACAATGAAAGATAGTGGAGAGATTTCGTGGATTGGTTGAGGTTAGACATTGACACTGTTAGATGCCTACTTGGTGGTCTAGAAGTTAAGCATTCATGCATGAGACTGAAGACCTTGGTTTCGAATCTTGTGCGACGGGATCGTGGATCGCACTGCTGAGGAGTTTCACAATGGGACGAAACGGTTGTCCATTGCTCTCAGGTTTTCAATGATGGTCTAACATCAATCAGTTCATGATCTCAATCAAAAACCTAATCATCTCCACAACCTTATACTGATAAAACTCAATAAAACGGATTAATTTTAGTCGATATTTCTTATCCACTTATTATCATTCATTATCTAATTAAATCATATTTGATCTTATCAATTCTGATTAATGAACAAATATATACATATACAATTGAATTCAATGATAAATTGTGTCATTTATACACATAATACTTCCATTCTTTCATTCATCACGTTGATAACTAATGAATGATGCCAACAAATACAAATTCATCTATTTTATTGATTATATTCAATCATTATTCATATAATTGAATATTACAATAGCAACACTTATAAATATGAATGAGAACATGTTTACTAAGGGAATATAAATTATTTGCTACAAGAAATTATTAATATTAAGTAAGTTATTAATAATGGTTAGTGTCATGGTAACAAAAAAACCTATTCAATATGATATAGAATTAGTCTAATTATTATTGTATATAGTATAATCATATATTATTAAACATCTATACATGTACGAGTAGCAAAGGTTAGCGAATACAACTGGCATTTCTGACCCCCCCCCTCCTGCTCCTCCTTCTACTTATTATCATCATCATCATCATCATCATCATCATCATCATCATCATCATCATCATCATCATCATCATCATCATCATCATCATCATCATCATCATCATCATCATCACCATCATCATCATCATCATCATCATCATCATCATCATCATCATCATCATCATCATCATCATCATCATCATCATCATCATCATCATCATCATCATCATCATCATCATCATCATCATCATCATCATCATCATCATCATCATCATCATCATCATCATCATCATCATCATCATCATCATCATCATCATCATCATCATCATCATCATCATCATCATCATCATCATCATCATCATCATCATCATCATCATCATCATCATCATCATCATCATCATCATCATCATCATCATCGTCATCATCATCATCATCATCATCATCGTCATCATCATCATCATCATCATCATCATCATCATCATCATCATCATCATTTGAAGTGATGAGTAAATGATGGAAAGGATTTCATGATTATTGCTATCAATAATAAGTTAAAATTAACGTTATGGTAATGAGAATAGACACGTAGTAACGTGATAACATATACGTGTATATATAAAGGTTATAAAGAAGAAGATTTTGATGAATTTTTGTTCTTTGAGCTGGATGGTTTAATTGTAGAGCTTTCATCGTTCTTCTGAACAACATCATCAATACAAACTTGTGCACCATATCAGAAGAAGAAGAAGAAGAAGAAGAATTGTTGTTTTATACTAGTTTGATCATCTTTAACAGTCTATATCTACTAATGACCAATATTTGATCAGATCAATAACAAGTTGAAAGTTTGATTATAATGAGCAAAAAAACTGCTCAGTACCAACGATTAATTTAAATGGAAGACTTTCCATAGATTCCAGAATTTCTATGATTTTCTCTTTATCTTCTACATGTTGTCGTTTAGCATCTTCAAGTTATCCGTTGTCTTATTTTCCATTTTGTAGATGGATTGGATCTATCTCATTCATGTTATAATATGTTTATTTCTAATTAAACAATTCATCTCTCTTCTATACATCATATTCATTTATACAATTGGAAAGAGATTATTTTCTAAAAGGAAATTATTAAAACAAGCTGGTGAATGGGCAATTGTCACTGGTGCAACAGATGGAATTGGTAAAGTATATGCAGAAGAATTAGCTAATGATGGTTTAAAAATTATGTTGATTAGTAGAAATGAAGAGAAACTTTTGAATGTTGCTAATGAGATTGAACGTAATTATCATGTAGAGACAAGAATAGTAACAGCTGATTTCACAAAGGTAAGTGTATATATGTATATAAATATACCTTTTAATCGATAATTAGTTAGAATGTAATTGTATGACATATTTGTTACTGGCCAGTGATTAATCTAGGGTATCATGTTTGTTACATCCTCTAGTATTGATCAAATTCTATAGATGATTTCATACTGTTATCACTAGTTAAATTGATTCGAAATGGCAAGCATGATCTCTGGTAGTTAATTGCCATCTGAGTAAATCAGTGATAGTGTACTAGATTGTAAAATCGGGGGAAATGTATTCAAGTCCTTTTAAGTTCTCAGGTATTCTTTGTTGATAAGTACTAACTAGTACTAACATAGATTTGTGGTTTCTTATCAATCACCTTTTCTATGTAATTAAAATTGAAAATCTTCAGGTTTATCTTAATAATTGTTAAAACATTTATTATGTAAAATCAAATCATCATTGGTTGGAATAAGGTATCAGTCAGTTAGCAACAACGTAGCACCAGGCACATACATTCATCAGTCCAAGTTGTCATACCTCATTAGCACAGCAAGATGAACACCGGATTCATAGTAGTAGTTAATTCAGTGGTGGTAATGTATAAAAAAAGACTTCATAGTACATAAAGAAAGAATTTATTATATCCTAATGAAGATTACATTACGAGTAACGTCTGAGATATATTAATTGACTAATATTATCTATACATTCATATGGTATAACTATTCAGTAATTCGATTGTGTATATCTATGTTTCCCTTGTTATTAGCTTCATTTTGACCCATAGATTATTATTGTGCGACTTACTGTTCTTACGTTATACTCAGTTTGTTAGTTACTGTCTCCCGCGTTCACAGCCACTTTTTGGCTTGTTTGTGTACACATGTTATTTTCTATTTAATGGCACGTTGTGGTCTGTCTGGTTGACATATATAAACCAAGTATGTCCGGAATAAATGATTAAGATAATGGAAGTTGTTGTTGGCGTTCTGGACTCAGCTGGATGTGCTAGGCGAGCAACAGATCAATAGGGCGCTAGGCTGATCAGACGGAACGAACGTCATTGGTTTAGTACAGCATAAGTGCAAATAAGTTGTATTTTGATTAGCGAATAAATTACTTGATAACTAGAGGGCCATTAAGGTACAACAAAATTAGTTCGAATAAGGTATGAACCTTATCCCAACTGAACAAAATCATGCAAAATCGCTATTAAGATTAATGTGTGTTAAGATTATGTATATGGTTAAATCTTTTGAAGCGTCTAACCACTCAGCGCTTAAAATTGATATTCAAATTAATTATTAATCTAAGGAACGATTTGTCGAGATGATCCGCCAAATTTCTCGCAAAAGACAAGCAAGCATCAAGAAACACTAAGAAACGTTTCCTCCAATCAGCGTTCATTTGAAGTTTTAGCCAAAAATATCAAGGGGGCGAAACTTCACATGCAGAGGTTCTGATTGGCTGATTGCTACACTGCTACTATATTTAGTAGCATTCCGGAATCTTCTAACAGCCCAAGCACATTTAAAATACTATAAAAACTCTGTATTTTCTGTTTTGAAATGAACCTTGAAGTAAAGTACTTCTCGCATACTTTGCATCTTCTCTCTGGTGTTCAGGTCGCTATATTGTTCTAGCTTGGAGGTTACAGAATAGCTTAGGGGACGAATATAGCGTTCAATTTGCAAGACTTATCACGATTCGATTATTACGAAATATAGGTAAACAAGTTGTGTAACTCATCTTGTTAGGTATTTGCAACAATTAACTCGTTCATATATGTATAGAGTGAAAAAGGCTTCTTATAATAATTGGATAGAGAAAAATTACAATATACGATAACGTAAATGATAGCCAGTAGATGTGCCTAAAGTTAATGATGACTATCAGGAGTCAAACGAAGACTAAGAGTACAAAAACATATGAATGGTATTGCTTTTAAATAAGATTTAAGGAATGCACAAAAACGGAAATAGCTGTTTCGGTAGATGAGAGTATGTATTTAAAATAATAAATAGAGTGAAGTTTGTTAGTTAATATGAATGCCTAAAAACAAATCACAGAGAAGCTCTGGATGATGTAAAAACATTTAAATATCTGGGCAGCATCATTGATGAACACAATGGATTTGATGTAGATATGAAAGCGTGGAACGGAAAAACAAGAGTAGAATATCTACTATTGAAGAATATCTCGAATTCAAAACAATTGACAATTGCCAACATCAAAGTAAGAATTTTCAATACAAATGTCAATACAGTTCTACTGTATGGGGCGGAAAGTTACAGAACTACGAAAGCCATCATCCAGAAGACATAGGTGTTTATTAACAGATATATATGCAAAATACTTCGGATCCATTGACCAGACATAGACACTATCAGCAACAATCTAGTGTAGGAGAGAACAAACCAGATTCCAGTGAACGAAGAAATCAGGAAGAAGCACTGAAAGTGGATAAGGCACACATTGAGGAAAGCACCCAACTGCATCATAAGGAAAGCTCTCATTTGGAATACTGAAGGCCGAAGAAGAATAGGAAGACCGAAGAACACATTACATTGAGAAATGGAGATAGATTTGAGAAAAATGAACAAAAGTTGGATAGAACTGGAAAGAAAGGCCCAGGACAGAGTGGGTTGGCGAATGCTGGTCGGCGGCCTGTGATCCATTGGGAGTAACATTTGTAAGTAAGTAAGTAAGCTAGGAACAAATAAACGTATGTGATACTATACGTTCAAAAGTTTTTTTTAATGCACTTGCTTACTGAATATCCACAAGTAGTATTAACAACACAATAAATTCAGTTGAGTGAAAAGAGAATGAAAACAAAATCTAAACTAACTTGCCATATAGGAAATGAGTTAAACCGTTATGTGATAATATGATTCAATGAAATTTTAACTAATCAGTCATTTGGACCCTGTTAAATAGCTTAAACGTCATAAATTTCATTTTTTAAATCTAAATGTCCCACTTTCAATTCTTATCGAGATTGTTAGTGTGCAGTTCGTAAAGTGTCCTATCACTAATTGAGTGAAGTGGACCAGTTATACATCAATCTGGTCCGTTAACAATATATGTTCACCGTGAAAGCTTTATAGCTCTCGTTTGCGAAGCGAGCGCTCTCTGTGTTCGATCATCGCTGTCTCCGAAGGATTGCTGACATCCAGTGGCAACACCATGTTAGTAATGCAGAGGTTCGGCATCGTGTGTTCGGGCACAGAGATGATAATTCTATTGGTGTCACCATCTTGAAACACCGACTTCGGTGGCTTGGACATGTTCTATGAATGTCGTTCCAGGAAATCCACGTCGTGCATTATTTGCCGACTCTGGGACTGGTTGGAAGAAGCGGAGAGGTGGTCAGTGCATGACATGGTGTCGTGGGATGAAAGAAAGCTGCAAAGGACTGGCTTGTGTTGGTCCTTAACGACTACCTGGCTGGCGTCCGAGATATGGTGCGACACAGCGGCTAGAGACGCTATCAGATATGGCTCAGAATAGTGGCGATCCTGCTATAACCTTCTTTTACTTTCTTCATAAAAAGTGGTTGTATCTTCTTTAACTGAAGGGTTTCTTCTGATTGTACCTTTCCGTTCCCCTATTTTTACCATTATTATCATTACACCACCTTACATCAATCTCTTCGTTATTGTTCTTTTTTTCCTTCCCCTTAAATTCTCATTGTTTTGTGTGGCGCATATATATTTGGCCCATTCTTGTACCGATATTTATGTGTTCAAATAAATAAATAAGCTCTCGTTTACATAATTGGCGGAAAATTGGATATATACAGCTAATGTGCTGATAATGATGTCGTTCAGAAGAACGATGAAAGTTCCATGACCAGACTATCCACCTCAAGGAACAAAACTCCATCAAATACCCTCATATTTTTATATTATATCTGTCCAGTTTTCTCTAAGTTTTAAATGAGATCAAATTAAGTCTTCCAAAACCTTTCATATCTATTCATCCATTCAAGTTTTGTTCTTTCCTTTTCACAGACTGATGTCTATCAAAGTATACAAGAAGCTGTAAATCAATTATCATCAATTGCTTGTTTAGTAAATAATGTTGGTATGGCTCCGCCTAAATTTGATTATTACGCAACAACCGATTACATGTCTATAAATTTTATTAAAAACATTGTTTTTTGTAATACTTTACCTATTGCTATAATGACCCATATAGTCTTACCAAAAATGTTAAAACAACCCACAACTGATATGGCTATCATTAACATTGGATCATATTCTGGTTATAGAGCTTTTCCATTTTTATCATTATACTCAGCAACAAAAGCATTTGTGAATCAATTATCTCGATCCATCTCGAATGAGAACTATGATCATCGTATTCATATACAAACAGTTTGTCCAATGTTTGTATCAACTAAAATGATCAGTTATTGTAAATTGTCATTATTGATTCCTGATCCAAATATTTATGTTCAACATGCATTAAATATGTTAGGTGTTGAAAAGGAAACATTCGGTTATATTGGTCATGCTATTCAAGCTTATATAAATAGTTTTATACCAAATATATTTCTAAAATATTATATGTTATTAATGAGATGGTGGATTATAAAACATAAATTATATTAAAGTAATATCTTATTATGATAAAACATATTTGATTTGAATGGAAACATCAATTCAGGATTCATCTTGTTGTGATGATTAAGGTGTAACAACTTGAACCAATGCATATATATACATGCCTGGTGCTATGTTGTAGCTGACTGACTGATTGACTGACTGATTGATTGATACTTATAACCTTATGTCTTTACTATTGCTATTATTATTATTATTGTTACTAACATTATAACATTCAAGAAAACTTCTATTTACTTTGATATTCTTTCTTTTCACTTGTCATAATATAAATTTATCTTGTATATGTAAAACATTTGTTATAACTTGTGGCCTATGTGATCTATTCATGTATAATTTAACGATATCACCAATGAGGGAGCAGTGAATTATCGATCGGATTAATGACGGTCTTGATTACCGTCTAGCCCTACCTGTTACAGTCCAGAACACAAATCTCAATCTCCACGTTTTAAATTGTATATTTTAAACATACTGAGTTTATATATCAACCAGACAGACCACATCGTGCCATAAAATAGAAAACAATATTTGTACAAGATTTAGCCAAAAAGTGACTGTGAATCAGGGAGATAGTAACTGATAGACTGAGCATAACTGAAGAATGGTAAATCGTATAATAATAGTCTATGGGTTCAATTAAAGCTTATAATAAAAGCGACATGAATATGAATAGTTTAGTTACATAACAATTATACAATAAAAAATATGAGTATAGTATTGATCTATAAATGAATCCCAAAAAGTTACCATTCATTATACTTATTGAGATATAACACTATCATATTGTTTTCTTTAAAAAAAAAACATTCTATTTTCAATACTTAAACTAATCCCAAAATCATCTAAATTGTTATAATGAGAATAAGATAATCTTAAATAAGAACTTTCGTCTAAATTTAAACGAATAGTTTCACAATATTTGGGCGCCGAGTTAATGTTAGTCATTAAAGAGGAAGAATGTTGTATTAGTAAAATCTCAGCGAATGAATTTTAAGTAAATCCAACGTTTCGCTTGGCAATCTGGTTCAGGCTTTTTCAAGGAAAATATAATCAAACAACAAAATTATCGAATATAAATAGGTACAAGGTTCTTCGGTTTATCGTATACTGAATAATTCATCCAATCAATGTGAAGGATTATTATAAATATGTATATATATTCAACTGACTCATGATTTCAATCTGTGAAATTTCTAAAATCTCCACAAAACCCATTCTGATAATAATAATCACCTGCTCACTAGTGACTGACTTCAGGAGACACTTCTGGAGTTCTAATGAGAAGTCGTTACCAGTGGAGTTCAACCAGGTCTGTTGTGAGATAGGAACTCACTGAAGACAATGGTGTACCGTAGCGCAACTTCGTGGATTGGTTGAAGTTAGACATTAACACCGTTGGATGCTGGCTCAGTGGTCTAATGGCTAAGTGCTCGCGCGCGAAGCCAGTAGGTCCTGGGTCCGAGCCCCGGGTGGTGCGGGGTCGTGGATGCGCACTGCTGAGGAGTCCCGTACTAGGACGAAACGGCCGTTTAGTTCTCCCAGGTTTTCAATGGTGGTCTAGCTTCAACTGACTCATGATTTCAATCTGTGAAATATGTATTTGTATTAATGTGTAAGAGACATGTTTATATGAAAATTAATAAAGGTCAAACAATAAAAGTTCATTTGAAAATAATCAAGAGGAGAGAAATTGTTGTGTTATCCTAAGCCATAGAATGACTTAAGGATTACCAAAGTAAATTTAAGGTTATGACAAATTGTTTTTGTTCAACATAAGGACAAGGTATGTGTTAAGATAACACAATGTGTTTATACTCAAGTGATGTGAGAAGAAGATATTTCATTCAACTAAATATTGACTACGGTCTGTGTATATTAAGTAAAGAAAAACAGATTATTTTTATGTATGAAATGAATTAGAAAATGTGCCACAGCCTGCATTAAATGTAGATAAATAAGATAAGTAAAAAAAAATAAAAGAGGAATGTAGGAATGTGTAATTGAAGGTATGTGTTATTTTTAATGTTCCAGTCATATTCAGACATATTTAGATAAAATAACGGATTTGAATCTTAATTGGGTTTTTTTTCTTATCCATAATGAATATTCAATTAACAATGAAATAAATTTCATATATTGATTATTGAATAAGAATTAAAAATGGTAACCTTTTCTATTACATAATCTATTGAATGAATGAAGTTAAATGAATTAAAGTGAATTACTATTTTATTATTTTTTTATAATAGGGAATAATAAAAAAATTACTGAAATAAATAGATTTCAATAACAGAAGTTTAGTTGTGTGTTTTTTTTAATTTGGTAATTGTATTTCTTCAGAGATTCATTGATCCCAAATTCACTGATATGGTCGAGAGTGGTGAGAGTAAGCTCTCTCTCTCTCTCTCTTAAAATGTCTGAACATGATCATGTGTATACACTTTCTGGGAAGTCCTATTCACCGCTTTCTCGCGGTTCTCGAAATCGAGGGGACAAAAAGCAAATGTAAAACGTTTTAACCGGGTTGGTGGACACAGAGAGTCCATATAGAGGAGTTGGAAAACTCTGATTCCAAAACAATGGTGCACATGAACTCTAGAATCCTAAGGAAACAAATGGCTAATGAACGTATTGTTAGCTAACGACTACCATAGGATTTTATCGCCTAACGTTACTCCACTGCCTTGTGCATGAGTCTTATAGGTCAAAGGCTCTAGGTGTAGCTCACTAAAAAAAACCACATGTTTCTGTTTGAGTATGCGGACATTATAGCAGCCTTCACATAAGTAGAATGATTTATATGGTGCATATCTATTTGGTGCTTCCTTGTACCAATATCTATGTGTTAAAATAAATCTCAATCAAAAACTTAATCATCTCCACAACCCTATATTGATAATTTCCATGTACTCACTACTGACTAGCTTCGTGACACATTCCCCGGAGTTCTAATGAGAAACCGTGACCAGTGGCCCTAATCCGTGTCGGGTAGAGACAGGTATCTACCTCAGTTGGATGGTGATGAACAAGATTTCTGAAGTATCATCACCTCTTTCATTACTGCAAATAATTCTTGCTGATGAGTACCAAGTGCTCACTCAGTCGTTTAGTCACATCATCGTTACATTTGTTAGCAGAATGCAAAATTATAACACATATGAAGTATTGATCATGTGTCTACTAAGTATGTTATCCTGTCGGATTGTAGTTTTAACTCATCGCTAATGTAAACAAATTTAATATGTCTGGACAAATCATTTGGACTTCCCTTGAACAGTCAGTCAGGTAAAAGTAATCATCCGTTAAACGTATATCTCAGAGACTACAGACAGTGTGAATGGAACCTCTAATCTACACCCAATGAAACGATCTCCGTAAAATATATTCAATAACTGTTCTTATTTGTTTTCCAAAAGACTCATATAAGAGTACAGATGTTTTCAGTTAGAGTTTCTACATGATTAAATATATGTAGATAACAAAATCATTTGTTAACCAAGAAAAGTTATAAGTTAACGATTTCGATCGTTTGGATTTTAAAAAATCGTGAACATTTGTGATTTCTGAACCGCATATTTTTTCTACTGTCTTCCATATTTTGTACTACTAACTAATAAAAAGTAGTTTGAGTGTACATAATCCATTCTATGGTTTTTTATTTCAACGTTTTATTTCATTCTTCATCGTACGGTTATAACTACTCCCTATTTTCTCTCTTTGAGAGCTGAACAATGTGATTACTTACGAATTTGAGATTCAAAATTATTTTCATTGATTGATGATATTCTTACCTGGCAAAACCGTAAGTTACTTTTATACGATATGAGGCTATTTATTTTTATTCATTTATTTCAACACATAAATATTGGTACAAGAGGGCACCAAATATATATGCGCCACATCATATTTGTCAGTGTGTGGGTTGTGATACTGCCCGGGTGCCCAGACCGAAGCAGTTGGTTTTCTTACGGAACCACACAATGAGCCTTTGACATAAAGGTCTAACCCACAAGACAGTGAAGCATCGTGAGGAGATGCAGTCCCATGGTAGCCTGTGGCCAATGACTGGTTCATACGCCATTTCTTCCCTCAGGATACTGGAGCCCATGTGCACCATTGATTTGGTTTGGGATCCGGTTAGAGCGCCGTACATTCACTTTTCGTCCTCTCAATTTCGTAAACACCCCCGCCACGAGAAGGTAGTGAGTAGGACTTCCCTGGCACAGGCTGTGTACGCGTGGCCGTGTGAGAGCATTTTGAGAGAGGAGGTGGGCCCACCCCACTCTCGGCCATACCAGGGCATTTGGGGGCAGATTAGTCAAAAATAGTTCTATGAAAAGGTCTACGATGTGCGTCAAGTTTTTATTTCATAATTGTTATCTTGAAAATGTATGAATACGTTTCATCTCTAACCACAGTCAAGAGAAAAAGGCATGTTCTAGCAGGATTGTAGCCTTATTTCATAATCACTACCATCTAAATGAACTCTTGAAGGATATATATATTATGGCTTTGGTCAGACAATTGCATGCGACAGCGCTGAATAGCTAGTTGGAACATTACGTAGCGGTTTTGATCTGGTTGTTTACTTTTGGTGGGTCTTTAAGATGTATAAATTAAATCTAAGAGATTTAATTTTGGAGTCATATCAATCGTAGGAATATTTTCTACACTCGTTAATACATATGGTTCGTTAACTTCGTGCACTACAATACAGAAGAATCATAATAATATATCTTACAACCGGTGATATAAAAACCTACTAAAACATGTACACAGTACATTTATTACAATAAGCTATTGTTAAAACTCTCTAAGAAAGTTTAAATATACAGTGAATGGGAAATTAGAAACGTATGTATCTTCTAGAAGTTCACCTACTTAAGTCATATACGGAAATATAGAAATAACCTTTTAAACCAGCCAACTCTATCGGACGTTGTAACTGTTTCATAGTGGTTACTGCTACCAGAATTAATTCAATTTGGTTCATTACGTATATGTACATTCCAACAAAATGCATTAATACAGTTCGGACATTTTAATTTGTCATCAGTACATTACTGTTGCTATATGATGAAACGAAAAATAAGATTAAGGTTCAGTCATAAGCCACAATTTTTTAACAACTGTGTACTACAACGCAGCAGCTGATGAATCTGGTTTGTTATAGCCAATTTGCATGATATTCAAATACTTTGACGAAGAAATCTTCCAAATATTTATATGGCACCTTCGTAAAACTCCATATGAAGCAATGTATTGAAGTGGTTATTTCATTTAAGTAAAAATTTAGATGCTCCTGAGTGTTTGAAGTGCAAGGGTTAAGCAGGTAACAGAACATTTCAACCTTTCATGTAAAAAGCGACTGAGACGATTAAATTTATCCCCCTATTTAGTCGTAGAATGAGAGTTGATCTTATATTAGCATACCGCATTTTGAATAATAACCTGCCCTCTCTAGGACTAATTACCTCCAAATCCATCCTAAAAAGCTTCGAAAACTGCTATCGAATAAACTTGGGTAAGGATTCCGATCTTCGTGCTGAATGGTCAGCAACTTGAATACCCTACTCCAACTAGTAGTATCTGCATCACCAGAGCTTTCAAGTGGCTGTATCTTGATTGAAAAACATATTCGTAGGATTAACACATGACAACTGATAAACTATACATGTTACTGAAGACTTCACACTATTTATTAGATTAATTGTAATGATTAGTTTAACTTTAAATTAACATCAGTTAAAAGACAAGTGAAACTGTATTCACAACCATATCGGAGATCGAACTTAAGACATTTAGACCATAATTGAATTCTGACTAATTAGTCTAAATTTATTTTGATCAGTGTGTTATCTCAATAGCTTTAATTGTAAACTTGAATGGGTTTGTATATGTGTGTGTGCATTCGTACTAATACTAAAGAGATGTTCAATAATTGATGCAGCCTTATCTTCAAAGTATATACATACAAGAAATCCTCTATAAAATTGTACAACTAAACTATATAATAACTGAGTGAAATATAGATTTCGTTTGGGTTATATTTTCTCAGTAAAATGAGATTATACTATTTGCAAATCAGATTGACTGCCTTAACAATTGCATTATTTTTTTTTATGGAATACTTAGTTTTTTTTATTTAAACACATAAATATTGGTACAAGGAGGCACCAAATATATATGCGCCACATAAATCCCTTGATTTATGGGAGGGCTGAAACAGGTGGTTTTATTATTAGGGAGCCACACCCGAAGCCATCGACACAAAGGTTTGATCCACAAGGCAGTGGAGGATCGTCAAGAGATGCAGTCCTATAGTAGCCGGTGACCAATAATTGGTTCATACGTCATTTGTTCCTTCAGGATACTGGAGCCCATGTGCACCATTGGTTTGGAATCAGGGTTCTCCATTTCCCTTAGGTGGATCCTCCGTGTCCATCAACCCGGATAAAGCGCCAGACATTCGCTTTTCGTCCTCTCAGTTCCGTAAACAACACCCTAACCGCGAGAAGGCAGTAAGTAGAACTTCCCTGGCAGTGGTTGTATGCACGTGGCCATTTGAGAGCATTTCGAGGAGAGTTGACTGTCCCAACTCTCGGCCGTACCAGGGCATTTGGGGTATTATAGCATTACAATTATGTAGTTGATGATTCTCATCTTACACACACATCGACGAATCAGAAACTATTTCAACCTTCACATTTATTTTTATTTATTCCTTCATATGAAAACAAATTTAACACCTAATATCAACTCTTAATAAGTCAATCTTACTCTCACTCTCTCCCTCACACACACAATTCAGTCATTTATTTTCACATTGTGAACTCTGCACATGATCCGCACATAACTAACCCATATTATCCTACTTACTACAATCATCACCTAAATATGATTGAATAGGCATAGTAAATATTCCATTTGATTGTTAAACATTAAATATTTCTTTGATAATTTTGATTACTGTCCTGAAGAAGTTCAAACAAGTTTGTTAGACGAAACTTTAAAATGAGTCAAATTTCATATATAAGGGTTACAGTAATACAGCTCTCTGTAATCATTTGCAACGGTTCAGTAATGAATCAATGTTTGAAATACAAACACTAACATCATAATAATATCTTGAAATCAGTTAGTCAGCTTCAACGTAGGACCAGGCACATATATGCATCGGTTCGAGTTGCCATACCACATTAGCATAGTAAGATGAACAACGGATTCATAGGAGTAGTTAAGTCAATGGTGGTAATATATAAGAGAAAGATTGCATATAAGGATACAGTATAGGAAGAATGAATTAGTTAGTAGAAAGAAAGAAAGATTTGAAGTGATTTTAATCTCTTAGTTTAAGGGAAGACAGGGAGTGTATACACCACCTACGCCATTTTGATCGATTCTGAGCCATGTCACCAAGAGTCTCCAACCATTGGTTACGAAAGTCACGCGGACCCCAACCAAGTAGTCTGCATCTACCAACATGGCTCAGACTAGAGGTTAGTGTCTTCAAACAATGATGCCACGTTTTGGTTTCGCCGCCACTAACTTTCTTCCAACCACCCCCATCACTAGTCAGCATTGCGTGTTGTGTTAACCGGTGTTCAGGCATAGGTAACACGTGATCCAACCATCTCAGTCAATGAAGATTCACAATCTCATCAACTGATTTACCATCATTTCCTAATACCCTGCGTTTAACCTCACTATTACTTACCTGGTGATCCCAACAGACGCCAGCAATATTTCTAAGGCATCTGTGGTCAAATAAACATACATATATATGAACAAATTAATCAAAATATATGTTATAGATTACCCAAACTGAACAATAAGAAGACCGATTCGCTATATATCTACTTTAATGATAATGACAATTATACAATGAGGTGAAAATCACCATAATGTACAACTTGTAGAAACTTTTATATCAAGTTATTAATTTCATATTATTGACATCCCATCAAGAAACTAATCTATCTATAATAATATTTAAGAATTTAATATTAAAAAAATACATATATATATATATATATATATATATATATATATATATATATATATATATATATATATATGAATAAAAAGATAGTTGAAACAACAATAGAAATGAGTTATTATTTATTTATCTCATTTGATTTGTGTGAGGGCTGTGATATTGCCCGGTTGCCCAAATCAAAACAGATCAATAGAGATTATAATCCTTATTGATATTTTTTACGTGCTTTATCAGCAATTTGTTTAAATTTATTATAAACCCATGATATAGGTATTGAAGTTAATACATAACATTGTAATGCATGTGGAAAATAACCATTTGTAAATTCTTCTACACCTAACATATTCAATGCACTATTCACATAATTTTTAGGAGATGGTATAAACAATGATGTTCTAGTTGTACGTGACATAGATGTAGCAACAAATAATGGATAAACAGTTTGAATTATTATCTTATTATTATGATTATGATTAGATAGATTTAATTCAGCTTGAATAGATTTAGAAAAATGATGTATAAATGATTTAGTGGAACCATATAATGAATTAAATGGTGATGGTAAATAACCTAACATTGAACCAATATTTATAATAGCTGAATTATTTATTTGTTGTTTTAATAAGATTGGTAAAACAATATAAGTCATAATTGCTATAGATTGTGTATTACAAGCAATTAAATTTTGTATAAAATTTATATTCATAAATTTATCATTTGTATAATAATCAAAATATGGATAACTCATGCCAACATTATTAACAAGGCAAGCAATGGATGATAATTGAGAGATTTCTCTTTCAATTGATTCATAAATATTATTCTATATAAAAAAAATAAATAAAGAGAAACAAGACATTGTTTGAATATTGATATGAAGATGAAACAACTTCTCAGTCAGTCAGTCAGTAACAACGTACATCAGTTTGAATTGCCATACCACATTAACACAGAGATGCAGTTGTCGATTCAAATCCTGTAGTGGTAGAGGCGGTAAGAGTATAAGCAGTAATCGGAAAGATTAGAGTTTGGAGATGTTCTTTAAAGAGTATAATCCAGTGAAATAAATTTGGAAAGAGAAAAGAGTAGACATGAAGAATTCAGAAGATTAGAATTTGGGAGAACACAAACAATGGATCCACCTGCTCCATTGTAAACGATTTTGAGACATGTCATTCAGCGTATCTAACCATCGATTGCTATCATCTCGCGGTCCCCAACCAGGTAGTCTACACCTATCAACATGACTCAGACCACTTGTCAGTAACTTCATGGACTTGTGCCATACTTTGGTCTGGCCGCCCCTAACTTTCTTCCAACCTACTCCTATGCCACTGAACATCACACGTCGAGGCAGTCGGTCGTTGGGCATACGCAACACGTGTCCCAGCCATCTCAGCTGATGAAGTTTCACCACTTCATCAATCAATTTGCTATCCTTACCTAGTACCCGTTTCCTAACAACTGTGTTACTTACTCGATGGTCCCAGGATATACGAGCAATGTTTCGAAGACACCTATGATCGAATAAATAAATTCTAGCCAAATATCAATGATAATTTAGATAGAATAGAGTTTTTCACCATGGGTGAGCTACCGTATAAGTTGAAAAATACGGATATATGAAATTAAAATCTCGCCGGGAGAAGCGGGATCGTGGATACACACTGCTGAGGAGTCCCCCATACCAGAGCGAAACGGCCGCCCAGTGCTTCCAGGTTTTCCATGGTGGTCTAGCTTCAATTGACTCATGATTTCAACCAGAGAATAAAAAGTGATATGATGTAGTATATAAGGAAGAATAGTAACAATAATAATAATAATAAAGATGAATGTTGCCAAGTGAAAGTGAAGTGTCTTGTGAAATATTCTTCATCTCATAAAATCTGTGTGAGGGATGTGATACTGTCCGGGTGACCAAACCGGAACAGGCAGTTTTATTAAGGAGCCACACCCGGAGCTTTTGACCAAAAGATCTAGTCCACAAAGCAATGGAGCAACATCAGGAGGTGTACTCCCATGGTAGCCGGTGACCAACGATTGGTTCATACGCCATTTGTTCCCTCAGGATTCTGGAACGCATGTGCACCATTGGTTTGGAATCAGGGTTTTACAACTCCCCTAGGTGGATTCTCCATGTCCACCAACCCGGTTAAAGCGCCGGACATTCGCTTTTCGTCCTCTCAGTTTCGTAGACAATACCCCCGCCACGAGAAGGCAGTGAGTACGACTTCCCTGGCACAGGCTATATACGCATGGCCGTGCGGGAGCATTTCAAGAGGGAAAGTGGACTCTCCCAACTCTCGGCCGTACCAATCTATTTGGGGGCCATGAAATAGAGTTTCCACCATGGGCGAGCTGCTGTAAGATAATACAAACGGACAGAACAAGTCACCATGTCAGCCATATTTGATTAAATATAGAATTAACTACATAAACTGAACCAGGCCTTAAAATTAAAAACAAATACATAGGTAGAAAACAATGTAACATTATTTCTAGATATCCGTGAGGTGTAGCCTTACAGATGAAAATGTTTCTTACGGTAAAACTTTTCCGAATTCATAACATTTGTCCACTAAGTAACTGTTTCATAGCGGTTACTGCTGCCAAGAGTGATTCGATTTGGTTCATTACCTATATGTACATTCCAAGAAAATGCGTTAATACAGTCCGGACATTTTAATTGGTCATTAGTAAATTACTGTTGTCTACCTTCAACCAATTAATGATACTGTAGAACGATCTTTTAAGGGCCAACAACTGACTCACGTCCGATAACGTTTCCACCAGTCGTCTAAGATCATGATTTAAATGATCAATTTATACGATATACATAAATCCCCCATATTGATAGATAATATTTGATTAATTATATCAATGAATAATATAACTATCTAAACATTTCACCACAACAACTTACTTGTGTGAAATCCGCAACAACAATACGCGTTTTCACATGATAAGACGATTCAATTTCATTGGCGACACTTTTTAATTTTTCCAAATTTCTGCTTATTAACATAATATTTAAACCATCTTTAGCTAATTCCTCCGCGTATGCTTTGCCTATTCCATCAGTGGCACCAGTCACAATTGCCCATTCACCTGATTGTTTCAAGTTCTTTCGTTTTGAAAACAATATTCTTCCAATCGAGTAGTTGTAACATATTTTAATTAAACGATAAAAATAAATTCCAAATAATAGGATTCCTAAAGTCTGTAAGCTGATGAATGACACGGAATGCCACAACATGCTGAAAACACTGAACAGTATTCCAACCATATTTCAGCTATAATAAGAAAAATTTTATATGTGCATTAATATTTACTACAGAAAATTCCAAAGTTTCACTTATTTTCTAAGACCTAATTATAAAGAATAATTTAATTAAATCATTTAAAATAAGAGTATTAGTTCAAGGTAAACTTTACACCCACGCTGACAGTAAGCCTTTAGAAATAATACTCAAATTCCGCAGTTTCTTAAATACATACAACCAATTAAAAACACGAGCATTTATCGACTATTTGCTGAAGAACAACTACATTTGAGGTCTAACCGTATGTTTGGACGCTATAAGTCGGATTAACTGTTTGGATTGATACATAATGATCAAAGATGGACAAAATTAATGATCCTAAATTCAATCGGTCTAGAACAATAAAAGGTGAATTGAAAAATACGTAAAATGCTATCGTTTTTAGCTTTTTTATAGTGAATGTTAAAAAAATTACACAAGATAGTGGAAGCTGTTATAAAATTACAATGATTCAATTCACTCAAATGATAATAACAAAGACAAAGGTTTGATAATTGTGGAAATTGAGACAATATACATAAAAAGCAGTGTCTTTAACATTAGTTCGCATAAGACACCACGTAAAGAAGGATGAAACGCAGCACATAAACACATGTTGCTTTGCCGCGTAGTACCCGAAAAAGCAACACTAGGATGATGGGGTCAAGTATCAAATTAGTCGATCATAAACGACGTAGAAGTTGACACGAATCTGTACCGCGGCATACCTCATGCCAACACAGAGAAAACAAACAAGTTGAAATTATGTAACCAACATGAGAAGCCTCACAAGTAAAAAACACCACAAGCTACTTAGAAAGCAGAAAGCCATTAATAATGTATTTGTCCGTGATTGTAGTGCTGGAAAGACCCTGTATGAACACGGTAGAACTCGAATTGAAGTTATATCTCATTGTAGCGACTTTTTGTGTTAGAACATTCGCCAGTCCCATTTTATCCAGTAGCTTCGTTATGGCCTTGCATAAACTGATTGATTTCTTTGTACCCGCTTCTTTTTGTTTTGTTAAGGCTCCACGTATTGCTAATATCCAATGGGTGGTAGTCTAGCCACTCGGCTGCGCTAATTCTAGTTCGTTTGGTAGTTACTTGTTGATTTGTATATTATGTAGTTTGGTTGAGTACGTTTGTCTGAGGGCAGTAGAGTTTATGGATACCAGCAACTATCACATTACCATGCAGCAAGTTGGTTGGTTGCAATGTGAAAAATAATGTGATGATACAAGTACTAAAAATGACGGTTGTCTCGAGAACGAGTTAATTAATCGGCAATCCAGACAGTTTTGAAAAGGCGTACCTGGAAGAATTCCAGGGGGAAATGAAGTGACAAAAATTGGGACAAGTAGTTACTGATATCTAGTAATGGTAACTACGGTATATTATACTACATGCAACAGCTCAGACTCTTCTACCGATCGTTCAAAAATATGTACGGCTGAGGAGCAGTCTACACCGTCTATCGGACAACATACAACTACCCATGCACATTAAGGTTGTGGGATTTGAGAAATACTTGACTAATTTGCGGATTCGCTTCCTCGGAAGTCAGAAATTTTGTGAAAATGCAAAAAACCCAGGATTTGCGCTAGTATGGGTCTTTTCCTCAAAATTTACCCACATGTTTACGAAATGTTCACCAGTTATAGGGGACTAAAATTCCAAGAGTTCTATATGTAGCCAAATAGGAAAGTCTTCAAACGTAACAAGAGAGTACCTGAAGATGGGGTTATTAAATAGTGTTCATAATCGACCACAGAATCGCAAATATTAATAAGTGGCTTTTCCCAGAAAACAAAATATTTGGGACGACACGTCACATCGATAATGGCCTAGACTTTGATATGTGCGCCATGACCCTGAAGCAATATATTCTTTTCTGATTGGCTCAGATTCAGATTTGTGTAGTAAAGACAAAAGGCCTACGGTCTATGTTATTTCTTTTCTAGTATTCTTCTGTGAGTGTCCAGTTTTCTCTTGAAAAAGTCAATTGAAGGTGAGAACACTACTACTTTGTGCAGCAGGTTCCAAGTATTGATGACTCAGTTTCAGTTTCAGTTTGAGAAGGACAGGAGGCTCGACGGCCTATGTTAGTCCTGGCAATGGTGGTCTCTCAGTTGATCCAACTTTCTTTTGAAAGAGTCGACGGATGGAGCCTCAACCACGTGCTGAGGTAGTGAATTCCACTCGTTGATTATTCGATGGGAAAGTCGATAGTCAGCTGACAAGTAATTTGTTCTCGGCTTGTGAACTTTTTTGGAGTGTCCTCATAAATTCTCTGTTTTGGAAGACAAGAAAAATGAGGGCATGTTAGGTGCAAATTTATCACTAAGCAATTTGTAGACTGTAATCAAGTCACCTCTAGTTCTGCGATAAGATAACGGGAAAAGGTTCAGCTTGGCCAGTCGAGATTCGGGAACCAGCTTAGTCGCCGTTCTCTGAACCTTTTCCAGAAGCTCACTGTCTTTTTTTAAGCAGGAACTAGCCGCTTATATGCAGTACTCAAGTTTAGGACGAACGAACACTGTATACAAAGTCAAAAACGTCTTAGCGTCGACATGACTAAAAGCCCTACGTATTGACCATAACGATCTAAAACTTTTGGCGACTATTGCACGGCAGTGTGCAGTAGTCTTTAAGTCTTGACTAACGATAACGCCTAAGTCATTATATGTCTGGACGACAGGTAGCTCAGTGTTATCCATCATGTATGTATTTGTGCCTTGATGACCGATATGCATCACAACACACTTGGAAGTATTTATCGGCAACTGCCATGTTTGAGACCATTCAGATAACTTCTTCAGGTCATTTTGAAGTTCTAAGCTATCACTCTTACATCGTATCGCTTTCCATATCTTGACATCGTCAGCATATAGCAAGACCGATGATGATAGGAGACAAGGAAGGTCATTTACATACAAGAGGAATAGCACTGGCCCCAAAACTGTACCCTGGGGCACTCCACTAAGCACAGTTTCCCAGCTAGATAACTTTGAGTTCACCCGAACTCTTTGTTAACGCCCAACTAAGAAGTCTTTTATCCACATCAATAAATTGCCTCCAATCCCGACTTTTCTTAACTTATATAACAGCCCGTTGTGCGGAACTTTATCAAAAGCTTTACTGAAATCAATGAAGGCGACGTCTACAGGTAGCTTTTGGTCCTTAAGAGCGCACCAGCTTTCACGAGCCACTAATAAAATAGTGAGACAAGAATAACCTATTCTGAAGCCGTGCTGCTTCTCCGAGAGGATCCGGTTTTTATCGAGATACTTAAACAGCTCTTCCCTAATAATCTTTTCTAATATTTTAACAACCACACTAGTTAGGCTAACGGGGCGGTAGTTTTCAGGTTTGTGTTTCGTACCTGTTTTGAAGACAGGACTTACTATGACGTTTTTCCAATCTTTCGGTAAGCGACCCTGCGTAACGGATAGGTTAAAGCATGTACTTAAAGGGCTTGCAACGAAGTTAGATAATTCCTTTAGTAGCCTAGGATGTAATTCATCGGGCCCCGTGGATTCACCTATATCAAGCTTATTTAGCAGACCAAAGACATCGAGTTCTTTAATGGTCACGCTATCCAGTGTATGTGTGGGGGGATCTGTATACGCTGACGAGAAGGGCGCTTCTATGGTATACACGTTGCTAAAGTAGTTCGAGAACGCTTGAGCCTTACCAAAGTCGTCCTCCACTAATGATGAATCAGTACTGTCTCCCCATAGAGCAGGAATATTTCCTTTTCTCCTTGTCCTTTGTTTTATATAGGAATACAAGCGTTTAGGACATTCTATGGATTCCTTTACAAGTTTTTCTTCGTACAATTTTCTAGACTTACGGAGGGTCGAGGCACAAGTGTTCCGAGCCTTTCGATACTGAGATTTTGCCTCATCAGTCCCCAGTAACCTAAATCTATCCCACATCTTCCTTTTCTTACGGAGAAGAATACGGACCTCCCTACTGAACCATGGTGGAGAGTTTTTCGGTCCCTTTGGTATAGTCCAAGGGATGTGAGGTGTGGTAACTTTTAAGTATGAATTTCGAAATGCGTCCCAGGCCGTTTCAATGGAGGACTCTGGGTCTATTGTCCAATCTATTAACGATGCTGAGTGCATGATGGCTGGTATGTTTGCTTTCCAGACGTTGGGTCTGGACTGGACTGATGCGTCCTCATGACTGACAGTTATATGGAAGTCGAAAGTTAAAACTGCGTGGTCACTTTTACCTAAGGGTGGCATATGTTGGAGGTTCGCAACATCATCCTCATAGTGAGTCAGTATAAGATCTAATAAGGATGATTCAGTGTCCGGATCGTACCTTGTCGCTTCTTTCACATGTTGTACTAGAGCACATGTGATAATCCCATCAACTAGTTCCTGCTCGAAAGAATTCTCCGACGATTTAATTCGCAGATTTTCCCAGTCTACCATAGGTGCGTTAAAGTCCCCTAGGATTAGACATCGACCACTTTGGGACCAAGTATTGAGACTGCTTAACAGGATCTCATTTGCCTCACAGCTTGGACTGCGATAGACCAAACCAATCAGCAGCTCTTGTCCCTTGCATTTTAGGCGAAGACTAACTAATTCACTCGGTGTGAAAATATTTATTCCACGGGTATTTCATTCGTTCTCTGCTTTTCTACTAGCCTGCTATGTCCTCTGAGATGTCTCGATCTAGTGGGAAGAAAAGGAGAGAATAGTTAAGGTCCAGAATCATTTCTCAGTATTTTGTACATCAAAATTAGATCTCCCCTTAATCTGCGATAGTACGGAGTAAAGAAATCCAGCTTTTCAAGCCGCTCTTTGTATGGTAAACCACGGAGTTCTAGAATTTCACGGATATCTGCCCTCTATAATTTTTCTAGGATATCCGAATCACCTTTTAAACAAGGGCTTGTAGTCCAAACGCAGTTTTCAAGCTTAGTTCTCACTAAGGATGTGTATACTGTGGTGAACATGGTAGTATCTAGCATAGTGAATGTCCGTTTTAAATCCCAGAGGGTTCGAAACCCCTTAGTTGCGATCTCCCGGCAATGGGT